GAGCCTTATTTTGTAAAAGGTGAAAAGGATCTTTGGGAAATTCTATGATCCTATTGGGTTTTGCCTGTCCTATATTTTAAAAATATTAACATAGGAACATACTAATAAGCTTTTAGCAATTTTGATATACTTATTTTAAATACAGGGTACAGTCCTATCAAACATAAGCAGTATTAAAACCCAGCAGTATTAAAACCCATAAATATGAGACATGCTACCTAATCCGATGCATCTCATTTCTGATTTCCACTGAATTGTTTTACAATCTATTATGATCTGATTGTTGTTCTGTTAGAAAGTAGCCTGATCATGTTTATTGAAGGTGTTACTTAAATATACATATGTTTTTATAATTATGTACTTCTTTTGGCTGCATTTCCAGATCTAATTCAATACCATTCTAAAGACATCATTAGACTTACAAATGCAGTATGCAAATTACATGGTTGTTTCATTTTTATAAAATGTATATTCTTTTAATACTGTGCTTTTATACTATGCTTTAGTTTAGCATTCCCAACCTGGTGCCTTCCAGATGTGCTGGAGTACATCTCTCATAATCCCCAGCCAATGTAGCCAAGATGTAACCAAACACATGTGGAGGGGAAGGTGCATTAGGAGGAAGAAACCTATTTTTGTCTCTGGGCCATATTATCCCACCAACCCAGTAAATGCGCTGGATAATGGCAGGTGAAAAGCATCTTTGAAAAGCATCAAGGGAAAACCTGGCATCTTTAGCACTACTGAGTGTCAAAAATGTCAGATTTAGTTTGCTTGCAAGCTAATTGTGGCCAGTTTAGGATTCCATATAGTTGCAGACACCATATTTTTCTTTAAAAAGTATTAACTGCCTTACAATATTACTGGAGGGCACATCAGAGGTATAAAAAACATGGCCACTGACATCCCTATTGTTACACATACCTTCTCTAGACCATAAGTTAGTGTGATGTTCAAATGTAGTTATCCATTGAGTGTTGTAATATAAATTTTAATAGTAGTTCTAGTTGAAATAGTGGGCTCTCATTCAAGTCTTCAATAGATGTGCATCAATAAAGCCCTACTATGAGTATTAAGATGCACTTTATGAAATTAATGTAAAATAATGCAAACATTTAATATGGGCACTCTCAGTTTTTACCATGTAGCTTAATTTTGTTCTCTTGAATCAGTTAGCCAATTCCTCAGAATGCATCTTACACACTATTTTGCATATTCCCAATTTTATTCTTGTGTAGCATCTTTCAGCTGTAATTAAATGTGTAGAAAAGGTCCTGGTTTCAGATCATGAATGTGAAAGAGCTATAGGGAATCTAAATTGATAGAACTTCTATAGTAGTTTTGGCCTGAGGCATCCTTAACATTTCCTTAAGGAACCACATAGTGAACCGAGAGAAAAATGTTTATTTCCTGCCTTGTTCCTTAATTTCAAATTCTTTTTTTCTGCAGCAGACTCATTCTGACATGTCATTTTTTTCTGCATATTTTTACTTAATTGCACTGATATTTTCAGTTCCTCACTTCAGGTTGGATCTGGAGAAAAGTATGCCTAAAAGTACTTGTAAGATCATACTACCCAACACTCACTGGAACTCTCTTTGCCTGGTGCTGTTATAACCTGAAGAAATGGACAAGCTTCTTGAAGGACTGAAATCTACTACTTAGTTTTGCAATCACTGTCCATCTTGATTTGTGAAATTGATCATAGATAGGCTTGGTATCTGATCCTCCCAATTATTGAATGCCTGTAAGGATTGAAGGAAGCAGAGGTGAAGAAAACAAACTCATTGAAGAACCACAAACTTAGATCCTGTGATTTTGGTTAACTACAGTGTCAAAAATTGTCATTTGTGGCAATGGTGCAAGAGTGCAACCCTGTTGATTTCTGCAGATCTCTCAGCAGTCTTTGCTACTATTGAGAATGATATCCACCTGGATTGTTTTTCTGGGTTGGGTTTAGAAGGTACAAGTATTCATGTGGTTCCAAACCCTCCTGGAGTACTAGTCATATGGTCTTAACCCTCTTGAAGTAACAGTCTCAGAAGTGGAGTTGGCAGGCTTTTTTTTCTGCTATGCCCATCCTCCCAACCGTGGGAGTATTGCAAGGCTCTATCTTGTCTCCTGTGTTGTTTAAATCCACATGAAACTGTTGAAGGAAGTCTTCCAAAGATTTTGACTAAAGCGTCATGTCATCATTATGTTGTTGGTATGCAATTTTACATTTTGTTTCCATATGCATGTCTCAGGGAGGCTTTGGAACTCTTGAATCAATGTCTAGAGGCTATTTTGGAATAGAGGAGAGTGAAGATACTGAGACTTAACCCTGACAAGATGGAAATACTATGGGTTGGGCAACAGACTACTCCAGATGCAGATTTATAGTTGGTTTTAAAAGCCAAGTATATAGTCTGTGAGTTCTCCCAGATATTGGCTTTGGTGTCCAGGTTAACCCACTGTGGCCCTCTCTAGAGAGGACAGACCTTCCCTTGATTATCCATGCTCTAGTGACAGTGAAGCTGGACTACTGCAGTGTGCTGTACATAGGGCTTAGGATCCAGAAACCAGCTGGTATAGAACAGTGGTTTTTAACCACTGGTCTGCAAACTGGTACTGGTCTGTGGGAGATTTTTTGCTGGTCCACAGGTGGGCTGTATCGCACTTGCTGCCGACTGGCTGGAGCTGGCTGTGCTCCATCACCTCTTCCTTGGTTGACATTGTGTTTGTGGAGGTATGCCAGTGCCACCAGAGGGGCCAGTGGGGGCGGGGAGACAACTTGGTGGGAGATGTCTGGGAACTACGCTGCACTAATTTCGGTATTTTGTTCTTTTGTTGGCTTTTTTTTGTTGCTCGGTTTCTGGAGGATTTTCATTTTTTTGGAATTGTGTTTGGAAACTAATACACAGAATACTGTATTATGTGCATGGTGATTTTTGTTTCTGCCTCAGCGGTCCTGGAGGCAGTTTCCCTGTTTTTGCTGGTCCCCACCTGAGGAAAGGTTGAAAAACACTGGTATAGAATATAGCTGCTCAAGAGGTAGATCTTGTCTCCTATGATGGCATATAAGCCTACAGAGTGCGAACTGCACTAATTACCAGTGCAATTTCTGCATTCAGTTTAAAGTGGTGACTTTGACCTTTAAAGCCTTGAATAGCTTGAGACAAAATTACTTGAAGGACTTCACTTACATCAGTCTACCTGCAATTTATCAGCAACAGGGGTCCTTCTCACTTGTCAATCGTTGAGGGCATTTAAAATGGCAAGTATGGAGGAGGAGACCTTTTCACAGTGGCTCCACTTGCTGTGGGTTGCAGCTGGGGATTTCTTAGGCCATATCACTTTTAGAGAAGTCATGAACACTTGCTTGTTTTCTCTGGGCTTCTGCTGTTTATGATTGATTGGACTGTTCGGGTTAGGAGCAGCAATTGTGGTTTAGATTTCAGTTTTATCTATTCCAGATGTTTTGTTGTTGCTATGTGTTCATGGGTTGTTGTTGTTGTTTTGCTATTTTGTCATTGTGCAGGTGTTTACTGTATAGGATTTATTTTTGTAAGCTGCCTTGGGAGGACTATTGACCTGAAATGTTTTAAACATATAAATTTGTGAGGAATTCCCCTTCCTTCTCTGTCTTTCTGGTTAGAGCCCACCCAATTCAGTAGGGCCTGTGAGTCATGGAAAAGTCTTTTCTAGGGTGGTGCTGTGGACTGGTGAAGGGAGAAAGGTTCTATATTGGATTTTCTTTGGATCCAAAACATTACTTGGGGCTTAATTATAAAATATGAATATATTTAAAAATGAACACTTGTCATGATGGGTTGATTTAACAGAGTGATTTAAACAACAATAAGATACCATTGGAACTAAGCTTCCTAACTGTACACTAAAGAGTTTCTAAACAAAACCCAAATAGTAAGTGGATGGATCCATTAAAATGTGCTGGTGTAGCAGTTTGATGTGAAGCAGGAGGACTCATCGACTTACATCATTTTTTCTTTAAAGGATAACACGTTATTTCAAATATGGCATATGATGTCTTTAAAGATGGAACTGGCTACTACAACTTTTTATTTATTGTTTTTGTATGCCACCCCATAGCCCAAGGGCTATTTGGGCAGCTTACAAGGTCAAATTCCCAACAGTGCCTGGTAGCTCATAGGACTATTAAGAGTCCCAGGTCTAAGGTCCTGTGACCTTGGGAGTTGGGACTTTGAAGGCTGAGGCACTTTCCTTCAGCCATTGAAGAAAATACTCCCCCCCAGCATTTCATATAAACAGCTGAAAACAGTCATCTAGATAACATACATGCTGTCTGGATTTGTTACCAACGTATTTGCAGGTGCTATTATGCAAGGAGATTGGATTTTATCTTGGTTTTTACTTAGTTTTTATTCTGTTTCAAACTTACATTTTTATATTATGTTTTACTGTATTACTCTGTTTTATGGCCTTAAGGGTTGTCTTGTAAACTGCCCAGTCAACTTTGGTTAATAGGTAGTATAAAAAGCATTCATTCATTCATTCATTCACTCATTCACTCACTCACTCACTCAATAAGAGGCCTGGCATATTTTGATGACTATTCCAAAGTTTTCAGGCCCATTTTTTGTGACAGACAGTATTATACAAATACTTCTCTATTGAAAGTCAAATTTCAATACTGATTATCATCCTAGAACTTGTTTCAGTTTGTTGGGTGAAATCTTGAACTCACTGATCTTGAAATGACATATGGTGCTAATTCATTTTCAGTCAGGTTTACAAAATAGTCTTGCCTTTATAGACTGAAAATTGTTTTCTTTGAGGTTTTTTAAAGAACACAATTAGATTAAAAACCTTAAGGGTTTGGGGTAACATACTGATCTTTGCTGTTGTTGAAGGTCTCTGGCAAAGAAGCCAGTTGTCCTGCTAACGTGCTAAAGGGATGACTCTGAAAGCTGTTCAGTAAAGACCAAATAGCTGAGTGTAAAAATAGGCTCTGACTGAATCTTTACTCTTCTAAGCAGAAGATCAGCAAAATCAAGAAGCAGAAGCCCTTATTCATCAAGACATTCAAGATCTCGCAGTAGACACAGATTATCAAGATCCAGAAGTCGGCAGTCAAGTATTTCTCCTAGTACTCTGACTCTAAAAAGTAGCTTGGCTGCAGAGCTGAACAAGAACAAAAAAGCTAGAGCAGCAGAGGCAGCCAAAGCTAATGCAAAAGCTTCAAACACCTCTACACCTACCAAGGGAAGCACTGAGACAGGGGTGTCTGCATTGCAAGCAAACAATGTAAAGGAACTGAAGAAGTTAAAAACTGAACATACACCTTCCCCTTCAGGTGGTGCAGCCTTGAAAAATGATAAGACAAAGACAAAAGTTTCTGTTCAGGAAACGAAGGGGGAAAACAATTTGATTGTAGAGAAAGCTGGTAAGCAAAAAGTTGCAGCGGTGAAGGAGACTAAATCAACTCCTGTGAAACCACCTACACAACCTGTTGTAGTGAAAGAGAAAAGCAAGCCCCACCCACCAAGTGCAGCACCCAAGGAAAAGGATCGCAGTGTTGCACTAGTAACTTCTACGCTGCCACCCCTACCTTTTCCTCCTATGCTGCCTGAAGATAAAGATACGGATAGGTGAGTGAGATACTGTTATTTAAGCTGCATTTTCTATGGAAGTGTGTTTGTGTATGTTTTAAAGATACAAAGTATATCTTGCTGAAGTGTGAATATGGTTTGATACACTGTATGTGGGGAAAAATAACCTGATGGTTGCAGTTCCAAATGTAGATGCTTCCAGATGAGATTGTGCAATCTCCCTGCCTCATTCACAGAGTTTTACAGGGGATCCAGATGATTTTTTTCCATTTGTAACAATCCTATCTTTTCCAGTTAAACAGTTAAAATCCTATAGCTGTGGCTGATAACTTAAAATTAGCACAATTCTTTTCCCTTCACCCATTCCATTTACCTTATCAGTGGACTGCAGTAGAAGCTTTCTCTCCAGTGCCTCTTTCTGCTGGCCCTGGCTGTCCATTCCTGGCCATTTCTTTCTCTTACCCCTATCTTTTATGCCACCTGCTCCTCTCTTGACATTTGCAGGAGATAGTTACTTACCAAAACCTTGGTATATTTGGAAACAGATTCCCAATGAATTCAGTGAAGCTTACACCAGCTTATGTAGCATCAAAGCCTGAAAGTTTCCACCTTCACCTGTCACAAGCTGTGTATGGGAGGGGAAAAGGGAAGAAATCTTGACTAGTTTCTACTCCCCACTAATTCTTCAACAGTTGTTGTCTTTGTAAAGAAGCCATTTGTGGTTTGCTGGGGAAACAGCTACCTTCAGGACAGTTGCTAAGGGAGCAAACTACAAATGGCTTTGGTGCAAAGGTAGTTGCCTATTGAATACTATTGAATACTGGTTGAGTTGATGTGAGGGTTGTGGTATGAAGGTGCAGTGTTGGGTTAGGATTTATCATGAACATAAGCATAGTTACAACAAGGTTGTCTTCCATAGTCTAATTTTGAGTAAATAGTATTAGGATTGGGCTCTAATCAAATATGTTGTAAACCACAGATACAGAGTGATTGGATGGGTTAGAAATATCCCAAGTATCAATCAATCAGTCTGGGTCTTACTGGATCCCTGGCTGCCTTCCAGTTTAACACATGCCTTTGCTTCCACAAATACTATGCAGCCTGATAGATGAATTGACTTGTGTGTGTTTTATAATAGAGCTTGTAGTGTGTTCAGTACTGGTGTGGGTGGGCAGATTGATGCCAGACATTTATATGAATACGAATATGAATATCTTGCAGTAGTTTATTTTCACTTCCACAAGAACATAGTATATGCATAGGATAGATATACTAGATATCTCTATCCACTAGTATATCTAGCATAATGTGTGTGTCATGATCGCATCCATCAGTGACCACCATGCTAAATGAATTCATGGTTAAAAGTTTGGGAACAACTGCTTGGAAAAATGATATGGTCCTCTTGTGTTTATCCAAAGAACCATCTAAAATGAATTATTGCAAACATATGAAATTACATATTGCTGCTTTACTCAGTTGGCAGCCAGTGAAATGAAAAAAGGTAACTGTCAGCAGAAGAGTTCAATGGAACTTTTATAGATAGAGAACTTCTCTTTTCTTATTCTTATTAAAATGACTGGAAGGGAATTAATCTACCTCAGCTCAAGGGTGTATGCAAATTTTATCTAGTTTTTGGATGTGTCTGAAGTATCAGGGGATCTGTGGATCTTCATTTCCATATCCTCTCATATGTCTGCTGCCATACTCCCAGCATACCTCCTCTCTGCTTTCTCCAGCATTGGAGAGATTCTAGATACGGAGTTTCTGCATATTCAGGAAGGATGTCCTCCTGTGAAAATAAGTCTCTCTACACTTGGAGGGTGAGATCTTGTCAGTTTTATAGTCTAGTGACCTAAGATTGCTGTCTAATATCTTATGTATGGGTACTTCAGAAGTAAGTCCCATTGTGTTAAGTGGAGCTTAATAACTAGCAAATGTGTATAGGATTGCAGATTAATTTCAATTTTGATGTATAAAATATAATTGTTATAAAAATAATTTCCAGTGGTGACTCTTCATGAAAGAATTAATGCAGGTGAAAGCTGGAGTTTAATTCAAAAGCATTCAATATAAGGATCAATTCACAAATATTGGTTTTTTTCCTGTGTATAGATAAGAAACTTGTACTGTTCGATTTGTGAATTGCTGGAGTATGCACTGATCAGGCAATATTTTAACCTCAGAATTTCTGAGTGTAGTATTAATTTACAAAATTTTCATGTACATAGGAATGTGCAATTGCTTATTCCTTGATCTGTTGTTCAAAATGTAAATCCAGACAAGGTTTAGCTACAGAAAAGTGAAAAAACATTATACTGACTTGGATCTCAAGTCAGCCAGATTTTCAAATATGAAGATACCAAAAAACTATTTATATTTTTCTAGTTTGCAAAGTAGCATTTCTGTGAAAGCAGTTAAAAAAGAAGTGGAGAAGAAATTACGCCACTTGCTTGCAGACCTACCACTGCCACCTGAGTTACCTGGAGGAGATGATGTAACCAGGAGCCCTGATGAGAAGAAGACACCAATACAGGCACATCATAAAAAAAGACCGAAGTACGTGTCAGTTTTTTTCATAATAATATTACTGATGTGAAATAAACATTGTACCTAAAAACCACTATTTCCTGCATTGAGTACAAGAGAAATTAATTACTTTTGATAGGATTCTGTTACAGTTGTATTTAGTATTCTGCTTGAATGAACAAATAAGAGAACTAAAACTGAAGTATATCAACCCAGTTTGTGATTCCATGTATTCTTTTAACAGATAGGTTCTAGCTAAATTGGCACATTGTAAAGCAACTTCCCTAATGGGATGCCTTCTAGATAGTTGGCTGCAATTCCCAATAACTTGCTAGTAGGAGGATGCTGGGGGTTGTAAACCCTCGGATAGAGGAGCATGATTGGAGAAGACTGTTTTAAAGGGCCAATGGAAGCGATCCCTATGCTTCATTTAAGTTTTTCCTTTGTTGTACCATTCCTTTCTCTTTGTCTTCCACCTAGAAGTATAGTAGCTGTTCCTCCTTGTAGCCATCCTCTTTACTTCCTTCAGGGATGGCTCATGGAAAGGACCTCCGTAGATGACCTAAGGATCTGGGTAGGTTTATATGGGAGAAGATATCATAGTTAGAATAGGTATGAAGCATGGGACATCAGCAATATGCACCAGTGGTGATGAGATTCAAAAACTTATTGAGATAAATTTGGTACTGGTGGATAACCCTTTCACTTTTTCTTTGCCAAGATTACGTCTACACAAAGAAAGCAGCCTAAACTGTCTTAATTTAGGTGTACCTAGGAAACAAACCATCTACATACCACATTAAAAACTTGTTTTTGAAAGCCTCTCAGGGTGGGGCAGGTATGATAAGAAACTCAGCATGCTTGGGTTTAAAGCCCCCAAGTCTTTGTGAAACCACTTGCATGGTTCTTTGGATATTTATTGTCCCATAACTGGAAATGTGCAACAGTATTTCTGATACAATGTTTGGAAGGGAAAAGATGTGAACATAATGGTTTGATTTAGTGTCTTTAATACTGAGAAAGTAAATGGTCATTTGTAATACTACATAAACAAATAGCTTCCCCACCCTACTTCCTGAGCATGGTGTGATATATTCAGGGTGTCCATAAAGTCCATGTGCAGCTTAAAATATCTGTAACTTTGTAACAACATGTGGTAGAAACAATATGTAAAAAGCAAAAGAAAGAAGAAGCACTTAAAGTTTTTATTGTTCTTGTTAATTTTCAACATGGCCACCATCATTACTAATACAAAGGGTAATGCAATTCTGTAGTTCTTGGAAAACATTTTCAAACTGATTTTCAGTAATGCCAGCAATCACATCAGTTACCCTAGCTTGCAAGTCTTCTACAGATTGAGATTTGGTTGAATAAACATTAATTTTCACATGTCCCCATAAAAAGAAATCTAATGGAGTCAAAGCTAATGGAGTCAAACATGTGGCCTACCAGACTGTAGCTTATCATTGACAGAACCTGTTTCTTTAATTTTTTTCATCCACTTGGATATGGAATTCCTGTGTGGCACTTCTTTCTTGTACTGGGTTCTAAACCTTTGGACAGCGGTGGTAGATTTTAGTTCGGCCAACCAAAGAATACAGTTTACTTTCTCTTCTAGTGAACCCATGGGTCAACAGTAATTCAGAAAAATAAGGAATTTTTAAATTTCAAGCAATTGTTAAACATATTGTATGAATAAATGATGAATAAAATGATGAATAAAATTTCTAAAGATTAAAAAAAAACTTGATACATCATGCTTTCTATTCCTTTTTACAGACTGTTTTTATCACATGTAGTTACAAAGTTACAGGTATTTTAAATTGCACATGGACTTTATGGACACCCTGTACATATATATTATATATATATCCATCCATCCATCTCTTGGTACTCATATGCAGATTTGACCTTTTTTTAAAAAAACTGCATTAAAACTCCAAAACTATATTAGCTGGAAGGTAACTGTAAATAACAGCAAATGGTAATGGTTATCACTAGTCTGAAATTAAATGTTGGAGCTGTTTAACAGATGAAAGTATATTTTTAGCACACTTTCTAAAGGAAAAAATAATGTGCACCTATAAAATATAATTCCACTGTTTTATTAGAATATGTGGACCGCGCCATGGTGAAACAAAGCAAAAGGAAATTGACTGGGGGAAACGTTGTGTGGACAAATTTGATATTATTGGCATTATTGGAGAAGGCACTTATGGGCAAGTTTACAAAGCAAGAGATAAAGATACAGGTAAGTTTTCAAGAATGTGATTCACATAGAGCTAAAATTAAATGTGATTGCCTGCTGTGCAAACAAACATAGCTTTGTAAAGGTAGTGTACATATAGTATGCAGTAAGTCTGCATATATGTCCTTGACTGTCTTGAACTGAGTATTTGCTGTCAAACAACTGTAGGCATTGGCTCCTCAGAATCGAACTCCAATGCATAAAGGATGTTATGGGTCCATAACAATGTTATGGGTCTAGGCACCTGAGTAAAAGAAGTTGGATAGATCTGTTTGAAATTTATAATAGGTGAAATGGGAATGTGTGCAGAGATACTAATGCTAAAATCAGTCAGTGAGTGCTGGAATGTATCTTGTGCTACTGGTTGTGGTCATTGATAAAAACTGGATTTGACAGACCACAAAACTAGTGTTTTGAATACAGGTTTTAAACTTGGATTCAGACCTTTACTTTGTGATTTAGAAAACAGTCCAATGAATCTCAAACTGTTTTGGAAACTGATAAGGCAGCCAGTCTCAGTTTGAACATCCAAACCTTTGTGTATCCCATTGACTGTCATTGAAAATGGGCAGTATATTTGCTGTACAGCGTAATTGGATGAAATCTGTAAGTATAGCAGCCCCATGTGAAAGGATGAAATACACCAGACAAATATGCATGGGGGGTTTGTGCTAGATGCCTCCTATACATATTCCATTGAAGTGACCATAACTGTTAATAGAGAATTCCATAGATCAGCTATGTGAAGAAGTACTTTTTACTTCTTCTGAATCTTACACCATTCATCTTTGTGGTGTGACTGCAGATTCTAGTATTATCCACTTAATCCACACCATGCATAATTTTGTAATTGTCATGTTTCCCTTTACTCACCTTTCTTTTTAAGCTAAACAGTTCCAGATGTTGTGACCTTTCCTCATGAGGGAGTTGCTCCAGTCTCTTGATTACTTCATCATCCCTGCCTGAAAGCATCAGGATTTGATAGCCCTGGAAAAATTAGCCATCATGATTGAAAGCTAGACTTGTCAGGCACAAAACTAACTACTATCCTTCTTCCTACTTTGGTGTTATCCTTATATGGAGAGTTGGGGGAGAAATGTATTCATTTTTACAGAAATACTTTCTGAGTCTCTGACAGTCTGAACTTCAGGAGAATTCAGATCCAGTCCACTTTGTGGGAAACCAGTTTCAGTTTGGGCATTATTTCAAATCTTTCTGAATCAATCTGATTTTGCTTGAGTTTTGGTCTAAATCAATGCATACTCCTGATTTTAAATATTCAACATGTTACTTGCACAGGGTTTTACTTCTAATAGGTGTACCTGGGTCTAACATGCATAGCCCCAAAGCAACTCTCCTCAGCTATTGCATAAAGATAAGTGGGAAAAAGCAAACAGCTTTTGAATTGGGTCTCTAGGGACAGTGTTCATGCAGAAACTTTTATGTGGATCAGGTGTTCTGGATTATATCCTGAATAGTGTTTTGCAGCAAAGACTGCTATCATGCATACTAAAAGGAAAACGTTGATAAAGCAATAAGAACATTTTAACTTGTAATTTTATTTGCATAGTTGGAACTGTTGATATTGAAACTGTGTGTTGAACATTCCTAGTTTCATTTTCTGTGCAAAAAATGAAAAGGTTGGGGAGTTAGAAATGACTTGTTATTCTTACAGTGTTACTGCACAAAGAAACTACAGAAATTATAAATGCTTAAATCAAATGAGATCATTATAAGATAAAAAATACTGTCTTCCAGGGGAAATGGTGGCGCTAAAGAAAGTACGGTTAGATAATGAGAAAGAAGGATTTCCAATTACAGCAATTCGAGAAATAAAGATTCTTCGACAACTTAATCACCAAAGTATAATCAACATGAAGGAAATAGTAACAGATAAGGAAGATGCTTTAGATTTCAAGAAGGATAAAGGTATGTGCCTAAATAGTCATATTGATTTTCATGATACTTACTCTGAGAGAAATATTGATAATTTTGAAAATGCATTATAATGTAATGCAATGTACCTTATATGTAGACATAACACCTTTTAAAAGGAAATGGAATAAGCCTTTATTTGCTCTAATTCTGTTCTGATTCTGGTAGCATTAGTAGGATATTAACATCCTATTTACCAACCAGCTGCAGCTATTTCACTGTGTTTGTCCTTTTAAAATATTATATGTTTTAATAGGATATTTTTATACCAGCTTTCTCACCTATAAAGACTTCCAAGGAAATCGGTAAATACAAATATGAGGAATCAAATAAAATGATTTAGAATGAGAGCACAATAGAGCACAATAAAACAGCAGAATAACAAAATCTTGGATCAGGTTGTAGTGTTTGGAAATGATACATATCTTTATGAAGAAATGTTGGCTGCATTATGTCATTAACCTTAGCTATATGACGAAATAAATCCAACTATATCAAAGCTGAAAATATGCTTGACAAAATAGTAATATTTGCATTTCCACTAACATTGACATTGTCTTCTGTATTTGGGGCAGTCTTTTTTGTTTTGACAGTCGTTGTCTTACTGTTAAGAATTACATGAATTTAGACCAGAGCAGGCAATGCTACGATACCATTCAGTAGTTTGAAAGCTTCTCTTAATATCTGTGGGGAAGCTTTAGGTCAGGTGGACAATCTTTTTAACTCTGAGGATTACATCTGGTGGCAGATGGGTAGCCAGGGTTCCATGTGTGAAAGGAGGCAAAATGTATGTGTGTGTATTATGGAGGAGCATGAAGTATGTGTCTCTGCTCCCAGCCCACTGAACTCTAGGGATTTCCAGAGGAGGCAGGGGAATGTGGAGTGGAGGTTAAAGCTTACCCCATCCCCAGTGATTGCTGTTCAGATTGCTGTTTCTCTGCTGCTACTAGCAGTGATCCTGGAATCCAGAGAACCATTTTTTTTCTTCCTGCACACCAGTAGATTGTTGGAAAAAGCAGAAGGGGGCCTCCCATCTTTGGGGACTGCACAAGGAGTGGCCAGGTGCTGCAAGTTTCACTATATATATATAGTTATTTCTTATACAGTGTTTTGCTTCTTGTCATCTTTTTATAAGAGGAAGGCTGTCATTCTTAAGATGCTTTGAGCTTGCTGTGGCAACTGGTCTCTAATAAGAGAACTTAAATTGCCATAATTCGGGCAGTTTCCTATGCTTGGTTGTGAGAAACTTTTGTGTATTCATGCTTTGTTGTTGTTAGTTGCGAAGTTGTGTCTGATCTATCGCGACCCCATCGACAACATTCCTGCAGGCCTTCCTTTCCTCCACCATCCCCCGGAGTCCACTTAAGCTCACGCCTACTACTTCAGTGACTCCATCTATTCACCTCATTCTCTGCCGTCCCCTTCTTCTTTTGCCATCTATTGTTTCCAGCATTAGACTCTTCTCCAGGGAGTCCTTCCTTCTCATTAGGTGGCCAGAGTATCTGAGCTTCATCTTCTGGAAGTATCTGGCCTTCTAAAGAGCAGTCAGGGTTGATCTCCTCTAGGACTGACTGGTTTGATCACCTTGCAGTCTAAGGGACTCGCAGGAGTCTTCTCCAGCACAATTCAAAGGCCTCAATTCTTCGGCGCTCAGCCTTCCTTATAGTCCAACTTTCACAGCCATACATTGCAACTGGGAAAACCATAGCCTTGACTATACGCACTTTTGTTGGCAGGGTGATGTCTCTGCTTTTTAGTATGTTGTCTAGATTTGCCATAGCTTTCCTTCCCAGGAGCAAGCGTCTTTTAATTTCTTGCTGCAGTCCCTGTCTCCTGTGATCTTGGAGCCCAGGAAAATAAAATCCGTCACTACCTCCATTTCATCCCCTTCTATTTGCCAGGAAGTGATAGGACTGGATGCCATAGTCTTAGTTTTCCTAATGTTGAGTTTCAAGCCAACTTTTGCACTCTCCTCCTCATCAAGAGGCTCTTTAGTTCCTCTTCACTTTCTGCCATTAGAGTGGTATCATCTGCATATCTGAGGTAGTTGGAATTAAGATTGCCGGGAGGAATATTGTTGATATTTCTCCCTGCAATCTTAATTCCAACTTGTGATTCATCTAGTCCCACCTTTTTCAAGATGTGTTCTGCATATAAGTTAAATAGGCAGGATGACAGTATACAGCCTTGCTGAACTCCTTTCTCAATTTTGAACCAATCAGTGGTTCTGTGTCCAGTTCTCACTGTTGCTTCTTGACCCGCATATAGGTTTCTCAAGAGACAGATAAGATGGTCTGGTACTCCCATCTCTTTAAGAACTTGCTACAATTTGTTGTGATCCACACAGTCAAAGGCTTTCGCATAGTCAATGAAGCAGAAGCAGATGTTTTTCTGGAACTCCCTAGTTTTCTCCATGATCCAGCGTATGTTGGCAATTTGATCTCTAGTTCCTCTGCCTCTTCGTAATCCTGCCTGTACTTCTGGTAGTTCTCGGTCCACATACTGCTGGAGCCTAGCTTGTAGGATTTCGAGCATCACTTTGCTAGCATGTGAAATGAGTGCAATGGTGCAGGAGTTTGAACATTCTTTGGCAATCCATGCTTGACAAGTAAATATCCTTAAGTAGTCCTTATGTACAACATGCAAAGAGTAAATTATGTCAACAGTGATCTTGGATTTCCACAAATGAGAATACAAATGCTGGTGTTCTCTGGAACTTACATAATAATGTAGTTATGTATAACAGTGGGTCATCTTAGTTTAGTAGCCTTAGAGTATGATTGGTATTAAGACATGTATTTTGCATGTGCAGTCTTTTGGCTGTCTGCCATATGTAGTCTTGGCTGATGGCTTTCCTCTCAAAGGGAGGAGGGATATGGACTAAGAAATTGACAAGATGAGACTGCATTGTGGTTAGTTTGTGCAGTTGGCAGGGACCACTTGCCTAGCTGTTGCTTGAAAAGTAGCAGAGAAAAAGTGGAAAAAATAGGGGCACCAAAATGGGGGAGCAATATCTTCTATTAGCCATGTAATCCTTTTGATTTGAAGTGTTGAACTGATAGTTCACAGTGCTCTCTACCCTTTCAACATTTCCCTGAGTGCCCAGCAACTCCAGGAAGGTGAACTTTTACCTTGCTTGCTTAGGGTGGGGGGCTTTTCAAAGCATTTGTTGTTGCAGTTCCTGTGGTTCCCTGACAGTTCTAAAAACTCTCTTTCTTCCTGTCTCATGCACACACATTTTTAAATGTACTTCTCAGCAATTAAATTTGATTATCCCCCTTTCTGTGACGCACGCACGCACACACGCACTCATGCACAGAGAGAGAGACAGAGAGAGACAGACTATAATTTAATTGCTGAGAAATACATGGAAAAATGTTCTCTTGCAGTAAGGTTCTGCTTGAGCATTGGTGAAGGGTCAGTCTTTTGCAGCAGCATGGTTGAGATTTGGAAGAGTGGCAGGAGTTTTTGCTCTTCATGCTGGGTGGCTCGCTAGCCAATCCCTGCACCCTTTCGTAAAGTGGCTCTTCCTAGTTTAGATGACATCGCAACCCATAGTGGTCTGAGCAACCACTAGAACAAGCCATGAAACAAACCAAAGGTGGTTTATTCTTAAAAGTAAGCCACCCTGTAGTAAGTGGCCTGAGTTTGGATGATACAATGGCTGATCATGATTAGCCACCTGCAATGGTTGTTGTGTCTTGTGAACCAGACAATTCTCTTGCATTTCCTTGATGTTTGTAGTGCTATACAATGTTGAAAATAACTCACAAAAATTTATTTATTTATTTATTTATTGGATTTATAAACCGCACCCAATAGGTCCGCACAGGGCTCCCTGCGTGGTGTTACTAGCCTTGCAACTTTTTATTAACCAGCTACAAGACTGATACTTTGCTTCCATACTGGATGTGAAGGAGGGGAAGCTCCCAGCTTCATAGCATGCTAGAAAAACAGACAGACAAATAAAACCACTCATGCTATGAAACCTTTTTACAAAGCAGAGGGGTGGTACAATCTTCTCCCCATTCCTCAGCCCTCTGTATTTCTTGAATGGTATGGAAGAAGGGCTTTCCTTCATCTGCTGTTAATGCAGCAACCATTTGGGCTTAGTGATGGAGCACCCCATCTCTACCTTGTCTGCTCTGTCATTCTCTGTCATAAAATTCCTACTTGCCAAAGGCAACCAGGCAAGTTGTTAAATGAAAGACTAGTGTAGGGTTCTGATAGCCATCATGAATGGGTTATTATCAGATTGTAATGGAGACTTTCTGAATTGTTAGTTGAGAAACAGCATGAGGATTAGAAGTATATTGTGAACGAGAGCAAGATGATGGTGGTCAGCATCTTTGCCTAGGTCATAATACTTTGCTTAGGTCATAGCCCATGTTTGTGATTTTCGGGGCCAAAGAGACATTTATGCAATTATAATTTATGTTGGCTATAATAGTCTGAATTGATAGATCCATGTTGGTGAATTGGGGTGGCAATGGTGGTGGTGGACAGAAGGTTGCAATAGATAAGCTCCTCAAACTCTGTCTTTTTCATTTGACCAAAATGGTTTTCAAGGTTTTAATCACCTGTGCTGTGGTATGATGGGTACTTTTATCTATGGCCTCTTTGGTAGGTAGTGGTTAGGTAGGTTAATTAGGATAATTTTGTTCAAGGTTATTACCTTTTCAAACAGCTACTTCAGAAGCATTGTCTGGAAAGCACTGAAGCACTGCATTAAAGAATTGTGGATTGAGTGTAATCAGTTTTTAGCCCTATCAACCCATACAATGAATCTTGAAGGAGATACTAATGTTACTGTCTCCTGCAGGTTTCTTAAGGTAGTCTGTGACTTTAAAGGATTTTGAATATTTGTCTTATAAAACAGATCAAATCAGAACATAGTCCTGATGAATTTTCTTGTTTGAGTAGTAAGTTTCTTCTTTCCACCATCAAGTTCTGTGGTGTTGCAGCAAGCCTGTAGTATGGAAAGTTCCTCTGACAGCAGTTGTATAACCATCAAAGAGCACTTCACTTCAGAGTTTTTTTTACTATTCTCATTGTAGATAATTCGCTTCAGTTAAATCTCTCAAAACTAATGAGAAGTCTGTTAGGGATCAGCAGATGCAGTGTAACTGAAGATTGGATAGTAATTTAAGAAGGGTATTTCTCTCAGATCAGCTTTTAGTGTGAACATAAGTGGATATAATTAAAGGAGGTAAAAAATCATCTCTGTGTAGTTGGACAGACTTACATGTGGAGTGCATGACAATATATCTTTGCAAGAAAATTAGGGAAACCTTTCATCTCTATAGAACAGCGACTATATTGAAGATAACTCCAGGAAGCAGTTAATTTAAGTCTTTTACTGGCATCCCATATTTGTATTGGTTTGATTATGAATTTGCATTTGATTACAATAACCATAGACCTTCGAATTATCTGCAATTTCCCATTGGACTTTGAACAAGATGCAAGGGTAGTAATATTTTCTTCCTATCAAGGGCACTTAGTGAGTGCTAAAGTTATAGATATGTTAAAAAGCTGTACAGAAATGAAGTAGGGAACTAAAGTTGCTTTTGGGTTGGGTTGGGTTGGTTGAGAGTTGAGCTAAACACATTTTGAAGGTATCTATTAGAACTGAAATAATCCTCTTCAATGATAAATGCTGATGCTGGATATCATAGAAACATGTAGTTTAGAGTTACATGCATGAGCTGCAGTAGGCTTCTGTTTTGCATAGAAAGGAAGGAACTGTAGAAGTTCTGCTTCGTGGTTGCAGAAAACTGCATTTTTCTTGTATTTATCTGAGAAATGCAAAATGCTGTGCAATTGATATATACTTTGGAGGCTGAAAAATTGGAATGAAAATAGGTAAAATAATTTGGGACATAATTCTACATTTTATTTAAGTCTAAGCTTCAAGGGGGCCAGGAAAGAGAATTAAAACACACTGATTCCCCCCCCCCCCAAAAAAAAAAGCTTTCAAATTCCTTTTGCTGGCCATATGGAAGGAGAGTGGGAGTGCAGAAGGTTTTTTCATTCCCATTCATGTTATGCAAAACTGTGGTTTAGTGGGACTTGTGAATGTGGCCAGGGAAACTTGATATGTATATTTATAGCAGTGTTATCTGAAGCTGGCATACCAACTTGATCCTGCTCCCAAACTTGATGGGAAGTGATTTGTAACATAAGCTGGCTATGCAATTTAAGTTTCTGGGATAACATGAGAGTGGATCTATAAGAATGGATATTAATTATGAGCAATAGATGGTCATAGTCAAACTGGAGAGGAGATGTGGCGCACAAATATTTATTTATTTATTTATTTATTTATTTATTTATTTAAAGTATTTATATGCCGTCCTGTCGCGAAAGCCTCAGGATGGCTCACGTATTGTTCACAAATATGAACAATTAGATATATATGTAAATTAATATAAACAGTCAGGAAAAATAATGCATCAGTATTGTTCTTGATATGTTCATTTTATTCATCCCATCCTTTGCAAAAAATGCCTTAGAAAAGTTAAAATAATAATACAATACAACAATAATTAAAACGTTAGGTAATAAGCACAACATGAAACAACCACTTTCAAAAATCTAAAGAAAAGGAGGAAAGGAAGAAAAAAAAGGAAAAGAAAGAAAATGCGACTGTGATCAGATCTTTAAAACATCTACAATCCTTAATTATTAAAATGATGGCTAAATAAAAAGGTCTTTACCTGGTGCTGGAAAGAGTAAAGAGTCCGCACCAGGCAGACCTCTCCAGGGAGCAAATTCCATAGTCTTACGCTGTGAGTGAGGTGCGTTATCTCTGCAAATATTAATAGACCATTCTAGGGGTGGCTTGAATTATAGTTCTTCCTTTTTTAAAAATTCCTTTTATTTGGTGGGGTGGGGGGATTTTTATCTGGCACATGGACCTTAGAATCCTTAGTATGGCTATTCAGTTCTTAACTTTCTCTGGACTTGAGAAAGTTAAAACAAATCACAATATGAAATCACAGGTTTTCTTGGAAATGGGTGTTGAAGATGACTTGGCATTCACCCTTGAAATATAAAATGATGTCCTAAATGTCATTCCAACATTCTTTCATCTTATTTTCAATACAGATACTGTATTGTAGTATCTTTTGCATTTTTTCCCTTTAACACTCATGAAAATGGGTGTAGAGGGAAAGGTGGTCCTTGAACTTGAAAGCAGTGGTTAGAGGATTGAACTGGGACTAATGACATCTGGCTTTGAGCCCCACTTCACCATGAAGCTCTCTGGATGAATTTGGACAGGTCACTTAGCCTAACCTGCTTCATAAGGTTGTTGTGAGGATAAAATGGAGAAGAGGAATAGTATAATGTATGCACCTTGGGCTTTTTGGAGAAAAAGAATGATTGTAAATAATCATTTACTAGAATGAATAAATGTAGAATGGGCAGGGCTGTGGTTCTAGGGGAATTACAGAAGTCAGAGCTATGCAAATTGGGTTCTTAATACTTTCTGGGAAAGAGAAGGAAGATATGGGCTCAGGAAACAAAAATTGCAATGTCAAGCAAGGAAGAAACTCACAGAAGTTTCCCTGGCTTTGTGTGGAATGTAGAGATTAATTGATGTGCATAGGTCACATGATAAAAGTGCATGGCAGGGCAGAATGTGGGGTCTCTCAGGCTTATATGCTAAGCAGCCTGCCAGCAGTAGTAGAATATATCTGAATTGTGTTCAACAAGCAACATTCATTTTAGTGAATCAACTAGTTTGCACACCACAACAACCATGTAGTTTGCTATAATGAGCTTTTGTGTTTTCTCAACCTGGTGCATCTGCGTAGCATAGGGTTTTTGCAGACAAGCCATGCTGACCACTCATGGCTTGTTCTAGATTCTAGAAGATATCTTACCTATGATGGATCATGAAGTCATCTGAACCTGGAAGATCTGCTTTGCTGTGGTTTATTGAAAAGTACCACTGAGTCTTTGGATTACAGCAGCCTCTTGCAAACAATCTTGCTTCCCCAAGTCAACCTATACTGTGCCACGGCATCTTGTGCTCTTCCTCCATGATCTCTTCCCCAGCCTCTTGTTGTCTTTAGCCATTTCACCTGTCCATGAAGTGTTTTTTTTCTTGCCCATCTGAGCCAATGTGTTGTACTCTGCACAGCAAGATTAAAGAATCTACCAATTTCTGCTGTGTCCTTAAGTTGCTCTTCTTCCTTCTCCTCCACAGAAATATTCTAAAGGAATATCCTATATTTGATTGAAAAAGCATTACACACAGCCATTTGAGACTTCATATTAGACATTCCCTTAATGTGGTGCTGTGTGTAAAATTACTTCACATTTATGTAACAGATAGGTACTGATATTAATACTTACTACATTTTTGGTGAAATGTTCCCACTGTTGGTAGCTGATTCATTGTAGCTACTGGAACCCTATGCTAGCTTCCTACATATGGTCCTTCCTGTGAGAGACAGCTAGTTTCAGTATTTCAGCAGTTGTAGTCTGCAAACATGGTTTTCTAGAGGGTTTTTATTTTTTATGTTTTTTGCTTCCCATATGGGACCATGAATCCCTGTGAGGATGCCAACTATGCTTCTAAGAAACAGTTGGCCCACAATGCATCTGGGACCCTGGCTGAGTCAGAGGAGAAAAAAAAACTGGATATGAGAATTCAGGTGTGTTTCTAGAGTGAGCCACACTCCTAGATCTTTGGATAAGCCAAGATGTTTAGGAGTACCTCCAGAGTACCAGCATAATAGTCTGTTTGCTTGGTTTTCCGTGCAGATGTTACTATGGGCCAATTCTCACACCCCTGTGCTCAATGAGATTTCCTTGTCTAATGCAGCAAAGGCAGGATGGAGGGTGAACAAAAGAGACTTTGCTGAACTGCTGTAGTGGAACTGCAAAACAAACTGTTACCTGGAAAGGCAGAGAGAAGAGTAAGATGTTTAAGGAGCAAGAGCCATTTCAAAGTGGGAAGGAGGGAAGAAGGAGACTGGATGAACAAAAGAAGCAGCATGGGCAGGTGAATAGAGCACTGTGCTAATTAAAAAACACCAAAGAGCTTTGAAAGGTCACAGCTTTTATTAGAAATAGAGGCAGGTATCAGCAGGCACAGGATTGAAGAGAAATAGGAAATCTTTGTTGGGACCCAGCAAAGGCAAAACATGCAGTGGACTAATAATGAAAAGGCTCCTAATAATTGTGGAGAATTGTGGTTGTGGATTCCACTGCATAGGTGCTGGAAAATGTGCTGGTGCTGACTGGAGGACTTCGGGGAATGGAGGAGTGAACAACCCACTCTGTATAGCTTATTTGCAGGGTGGCTTAGTATGATGTGTGGATCTATCCAGTAAAAGAAAGAATGATGTCCTCTAAAGTTAAACTAACTAGATACGAAATTATTTTATTTCCCCTTCTAGGAGCTTTTTACCTTGTTTTTGAATATATGGATCATGATCTGATGGGGCTTCTGGAATCGGGCTTGGTACATTTTGATGAAAGTCATATTAAATCTTTCATGAGACAGTTGATGGAAGGTTTGGATTACTGCCATAAGAAGAATTTCTTGCATAGAGATATCAAATGTTCCAACATCTTACTCAATAACAGGTATGCATCCAGTTTTCTATATCGGTTAGCGATAAGATATATATTGAAAAATAACTTCATTTGCACCAGATAACAGGTAAATGTAAAGATTGTAATATTTCTGTTTAAGAAAGTATATATCACTTAAAAAATGTGGCTTGTGTTGTTTGAGTGACTTAAGTGGTCATTTGCTGTTGGCATACCAAGTAACTAGTATAAACAGAGGATTGGACCCACATGTAGTCATTTGGAGTAGATTCTCTCAAGTCAATCAGATGAGTTACTATGTTTTATTGATTTAATGAGCCTATTCTTAAGTATAAATCTGCATCCAGCCCATGGGGCATGTGTGTGCCTGAGCAGAGATTGGTAATAGGTTTTTTTAGGAAACTAGTCAGTGTAACCTAACACAGTTAATCTGTATTTGAATTCTGAACGTTTGTGTTTTATATGTATCAATTGAGCTATGCTAAGCAACTGCCAAAACAAATACCATGGTTATTTTAGCTTTCTTGCTACTGCAGCACACTTTCTGGGCATGTTTATTAACCATTATAGTTAAACAGAACTTCCTTGTTCAGGGGCAGTATACCTTTGAACCACAGATGCTGGGGACAGTTATCTTCATGTACTTTCAGATTTATCAGCTATATCTGCAAGGCCCCTTGGTGTAACAGCTTGTTGGACTGCATAGTCCAGCAAAGGTTGCTTCTATATGTTTATGTTTTTAGTTCACACACAGCCTGGACATTACACAGGCAGTCAGCTGGAGGAATGAGCCTTAAGACCTTCTGTGGGTATAATTCTAATGAATACAGGGGGATATTATGTGTGTATAAGGTCTCCCATGCAGTGCATCTGCTACAGTGAAAGAAAAGCCTCCTTCTGCGTGGATGTGATCCTGAGCATTAGAAGGTGGAGTAGTGGAACTTTGTTTTCCATTCACATGGAATGCTCTATATTTTGAACAAATTGGGGTATGCATCTGCAGCTAGATCAGTGGTTCTGCTTTTTAAAAATAGCTGCATGCAGTGAGGTCCTTTGTGTTTTGGCATGCTTAGAGTAGTGGTTCTACACCAACAGTACTCTTACTGTTTAGTCAGTAACACTTCTGGAGGTTTGGGCCTGTATTTATGTTTGTGGCTGTTTCTGCAAGGAAGTAAAGCTGATTTTGTTCTGTCATACTTCGAGGCATTAACCCTCTTCCTTATGTATTTCTGTTAGTTTGCTACTATTTTTGATGGTATAACTAATGTATTTAATTGCTTTATACATGGTTTTAGTGGTGCACTAGATCATTTGGAACTTAAGATTGAAAAAAATATAAGTTTCATAAATTGAAGGCACTCTTGTCATACTGTAATAAGTACAAGTCTCTTTTAAGGCCTAAGTTAATGCCATAACATAAAAGTAAATAATAACAAACACTGACCTTTAAAATGATGAGATATCTGTGCACATAACCACCAAGCAGTGATGCTCAAAAGATTTTGCATCATTTAAATTACTTAGAACCAGACAGAATATAACATAGTTTATTCTTTAAGTTATTTAAAGCTGTGTAAAATCTTTACTCTTTCCACTAGAGGGCAGATCAAACTTGCAGATTTTGGGCTTGCTCGGTTGTATAGCTCGGAGGAGAGGTAAGTCTAATATTAACCAAAATTTACATTTGGGAAGTGTTCTGGGAAATATAAACAAGATATAAAACACATGTGAAGCTTTGTAAAATTCACTTAAATAAATGTACCTGGAAGTACTTTTGGTACTTTTTTCCAAATATATAAGGCTTTGCTTATATATGTGATTTTTTTAATGGTATGAATTGAATTTAGAGTGAAAGAATTCTTAGCTGTATTCTTAACTTGTGTATGCGTGCACACGTGCACACAGACACAGAAGGTTGAATTCAGATTGAGTTGTACTCAAATGTAGATCCTTTGAAAATGGGACTACAGACCCATATTTAGTTATGACAAGCCCATATTGAATTGTACTGTATAATCCTGTCTCTGTTTTCATAGCTTAATGTTAGTATCTGTACATTTAAAATATGTTAATATAATTTCTCAAAATATCACTTCAGAAAGAAACAACCTAAAGTTATACAATTAAAAACGTATTCAGTCTTGCTAAAATCTTTGATTCCTGTATAATTTAAATGAATGCCATTATTCCTTGATTTTTGATTCTACGGTTGTTTTAGCTCAGTGACCAGCTCTCAGTGAGGCAGTAAATCCTTTTCTATACTGTACTGCAATGCTTTTAGCTTGCTGGTAGTGGTGGGGAAGCTCCCATAATGGAATAACCTTTTGCTCAGAAAGAGCTCCTGCTTATGGCCAGTTCTGCTCCAACATGGACTGAGATGGCTGCCTTAAGCAGCAGATAATGAGAGCTAGTGAACTGTGGATGACAGAATTCTGTGTGCATTATGGTCTGCCCTTGGCTGTTAAACTGACCTGTGGCTCTTGGGGGTGGTAAATCACTCTGATCTAAGTGTTGATGTAAGGTTCCATTGTTAGTCTAGCTTTCTGCTGGTCCTTACCTGCTCCTGTGTAGGGGTAAATTATGCAGGCATATGTGGGCATGCACATGAACTGCAACCCCAAGATGCTGGGAAAGGGACTTATGTGTATGCCCACATAGCCACCCACACCTTAGCTCTACTTGGTGAGCAAGCAATTACCTGCATAGGCTTCTGTACATGGACCTAGTGCAGGGTGGGAAGCATCATATTGTAGCATCATTCCAGGTAGCTGTCTGTGTCCACTGTAGAGCCTGGGAAAATTCTCTGACTATTTTTCCAAATTTCTTTACAGAAAAGTAGAACTTTGCGGGAACAGTGTTTTATACAACAGAACTTGTATAAAACACTTTTTAAAGGAATGAAACAGTTGCCTTTTAAGTCAAATTGTGCGGTGTGAAGGTCTTAAGATTATCTACATGTTCTTATGCATGTGTACACATAAATAACATTCAGATTCAAAAAGTATTAATGATGAAACTGGAATATAGGAAGCTGCTTTAGGCTGAGTGGATCTCCTAACTGAACCTTGCAGTAAGTCAGGCTGCCAAAACAACCCATAGTGTGCTTGACTGATGATTAAATTCACCTTTGGGTTGCCCTCCTTTTCACTCTCAGACCTTGCTGTGGGTATCTGAGGAGTCTCCACAGCAGGACCAACTTGTTTTCTGCCCTGCTGTCATGAATGTAAGCCATTTTTTGCTTGTTGAACTGTTCCCCATCTTTATCCTTGCTTTTTCCTTTTTTCCTGGCCATTGTGAATGGTGATATCTGAAGCCAGTGATAGCCCATCAGAAGGATCAAGCAGCACATTGCAAAGACTTTCACTGGCCATCTTTAAAAATGTGCCCTAATGTTGATTTTTTTGGCCATTTTATTACACTTTTATTTTTGTGGAAGCATGCTGTTCTGTCGGTCTGAAAATGGGAAGGTTTGCCTGGGCATTTACTTGGGAGGATACCAACAGTATATAGTGACCCAGGGCATTCCAAATAGTTTTTTAATACTGCTTTGATGTGACAATCATCAAAGGGCAACCCATCAGGCCAAAGCAAAGCTGATTTTTTTAAGAGTAGGTAGGTGACTCCCCCCCCCCCTTGCAAAGTGATTATCAGGGTTTTAAGTAATCACCCATAAGTCTCAGTATCCCCAAATGTTCTACCTATTCCTGAAATTCCTGGTGCCTGGGAGATAGAAAAGGGTATTTTTGCTAATACTTGTATTTCACAGCTGTCAGAAGTGGGAGTTTCCTTGAACATGGGGATTTAGGCAGGATGTGTTGGATAAGGAGTATCCTGATTTCATGTGCCTGCTTCTCTGTCCAGGCAGATCTGTCCGGATGCTAGGGCACTTGCAGTAATGCTGTAAATGGCAGTGGTCCAGATAGGTTTTTCCACTCATGCCAACTGCCTTACTTGCTGTCCTATGTAATCCACAGAGGCATCTGTTGTCTAAATTGAGATGACTTGATACCCCATCATGGATTGACCAACTCCTGCAACAGTCCATGCATTTTCAGAGCTGCTTGTTTGAAGGAAACAAACAAACAAACCAAGACAACTTGCAGGAAGTAGTCTGGGTTTACATGACTAGCTACCCCTGCTGGGTTGCTGTGTCAAGCAATCCAGGTCACTGACTCCGACCACTGGTCCATCTAGCCCTGTACTGGCAACGCTTAGTTGCAGCAGCTCCCCAGATTTTCAGGGAGCAGTTTTTCCAGCCTTACCTGGAACTGATTACTAGTCCTGTGATCCTACATATACAGTCTGTAATATTTATCCAGCAATGGATTTACTACCTTAATGAAAGTTGGGTCACTGATTCCTGAATTTCTGATACCTGAAACACATCCTTTTCTAAATGTAAGAGTGAAACATTCCTCTAATTTTGAGGTACCTTTCATTCTGATGCTGCACTAAAAGTTATTCAAAAAATATGAGATGTGGAGGTGTACCAGTAGTCCCACATACATCCCTGGTTTGTCTGTTCTGAACTTGCTTCCTGAAGGAGCAATGACATACCGGGTTGCAATGGTGCAATTGTCCCTGATGCAGAGATGAATCAGAATAACCCACTGCCAGGGAAGGTTGATTGGAAAAAATTGAGGCCAGAGCTAAAGATGGCTTACCACCTTCTGAGTGCACAGATGCATTTACTTACTTGCATTGGCACAATAGCAGTGAACTAATCCAATATTTACCATCACTCTTGTGCATATCTTTTAAACCATGAAATAACTCACTGCTTAGCATAGCTAGTGTCTGATGCTTAGCTGCCACTGTTCTTATCATTCTTATCAGCCATTTATTGATGAATGAATGAAAATTCTGCTCCCCTGCAATTGAAGGTAGCATGTATAGGTTTTGCATCCATTGAGAAAAGTCTGCTTAGTTTTAGCAAAGCTGCTGTGGCATATTTAGTTTTCTATTTTGCAGTTACTGGTATATTTGTTTTTAAATCATATTGTATAAACCGCCACAGTTCTGTGTTTTAAAACAACCCCACCATATTTTCAATGGTCAAGAGATCTTTTTTTACCTTATCCAAAAGCAGTTTCTAATATAAACGTAACAGTAATAGGCTCTGGCGATTTGCTATTTTCATTTGTTACCAGTTAAGGCATGTAACATTTCAGTTTCATTTCTGTTTATGCCGTTGATAATGGATTTTAGAATGGGTCTCTAACCCTAACAGCACCACCAATAAGTGGCAATAGAATATAAAAGATCCTATTAAGAAATTTGTGTGTTCCATAGGCAAAATTGGGTATTGTGTAACTGGAGGAAACTAAGAAGATCATTGTGCAATTTAATAAATCAGATCATGGGAAAGAAATCTGCAATTGTAGTGAAGAGTACATTGCTTTTAGTTTTCCTTTCTTGCTGCTTTTGTTCTTGTTGAAGGGGACCAGGAATGCTACAGGATTCTTTATTTCATTTGTGTAGTAATGTTTGGAATTATTATGCTTTAGTTACTCAGTTTGAGAGAAAATTAAAATTTGTGCGTTTTATTTTCAGTCGACCATATACCAACAAAGTTATTACTTTATGGTACCGTCCTCCTGAACTGTTGCTAGGAGAAGAACGATACACACCTGCTATTGATGTCTGGAGCTGTGGGTAAGGCTTTTGCTACAAGCAAAAAATTGTGCATCAAGAATATTTTTCAAGAAATGGCATTGATAAAGTTGTGTGCTCTTTTTTCAGATGCATACTGGGTGAACTTTTTACTAAAAAACCAATATTTCAAGCAAATCAGGAACTTGCTCAGCTGGAACTGATAAGGTTAGTTTTAGCACTGAGTCTGTGAGAATTGGGATGAAAGTATAAATCTAAGTGTCACCAATTTTGTGACACTCAAAAATATGCAACTTGGATTTATTTGCAGTTATGAAATAGAACTTATCTTCTGTTGAAGGGAATACATCATATCATAACACACTCCCCACCACTGTCAGTACAGAAAACAAGAAATTCACAGGGCTTTTCAAAACTGGGGGAAACCTTGCATTGTTAGAGGCAGCTTTTTATTTAATTGGACCTGGGCTGGTTTCCTCTTCTGTATGCTATCTGTTTACAATGGGGTAAGTACGGTTTCCTTTCTCTGACTGATGCATATTTTGGAAGATACATGCAGCTGCAGCATTCTAACAGTGAAATGAATTCTGGACTGCCCCTCCCCCTTCCCCCACACTTTCCAGTAGTCCTCAGGTCACAGAAGATCTCAATCTATGTTTTTAAGTACAGTGTTGAATTACAAAATAGAGAAGAATGTTGGTCTTCATCCTGTTTTCTCATGATGTTTAAGTTTGGGCTGACCACTAGATGGCACTAGAGCAAGTCTTTAAAAGTGAGAGCTGGAGTAGTGGTTTTTGTGTTTTCAGAACTAGGAATGGGAGAGAAATACATTCAACTTGCATTTTTATACAACATTACTGCATTTGCACTAGCCAGACCTGTACATAAACTAGAATGTAGTAAAACACTGATATCCACATTTCTGCAATAAAGTATACCAAAAAGTGAACCAAAATGCATATAGAATACAAAATTGTATACAAAAAATGTTTATCTTTCAGACAAGCGCAAGAGCACTTACAGAAAAAATTGCCTGCATACATCAAGAAAATTGTATAGTGAGAATGCATGTAATTTTAAAAATGTACATAACATGCATATATTTTGAGACATATGCAAAAATATGTGTTGTTCATATAGACTGGAAGAAAATCCAAACTAATGTTCAAATGGAACAGAATGAAGTGAATTTTAAGAAAATAGTCCATTCCTATTGAAAAGAGCTTGTGTTCTCTTCTGAAAATAGATCTAATTCATCTCTTCTTCCTTACCCTGATCAGGCATGTTTTGATCCTAAATTGGAAGAAAATAAACTTGTAGCTTGGTTGTGGACCCTAGTTTTAGTAGGCCCAAAATGAAAGTAGTCTTCTCATGGGACTTTTCTACTATCCACATTAAGTTTTGTCTTTCATTTTCTCTTCAGTTGTCTTATTTGTCTTACTTTATGCTAAGGTATGCTGTCTTCATCAAGTTCATATTTGAAGTAATAGTTTTTAGTTAACCTACTCACCTTTCTAGCTATATGCATTCATTCTCTTGATTTTGATACTTTCTTACAGTCGTATATGTGGAAGTCCTTGTCCTGCAGTATGGCCTGATGTGATCAAATTGGCTTATTTCAACACCATGAAACCAAAGAAGCAGTATCGACGGAGACTGAGGGAAGAATTTGCTTTGTAAGGAGTGAGCTATTTCATTCTTTGGTTTTCTTTTTAATGGATTACTTTGATCCACAATTCGATTTTTGTGACAGTCTTAATATTCCCTTCCTTGATCTACATATAGCAAAATTAATGATAGGTATACACTACTAACATTCATTTCATTTCATTTCATTTCATTTCATTTCATTTCATTTCATTGTACGCCACCCCATAGCCCATTGGCTCTCTGGGTGGCTTACAGTAGAACAACAAAAAAAAGAAAGCAACATTTAACTGTTAGCAATAAAAAATCAAAGCAAACCTTAGTACAATTATATAAAATATAATACAATACATAAAATCAATACATAATGCAATATAATATGTAATACAATGCATAATATCAATAATAGTAAGCTATAGTTATATTCCCCTCCTTCAGATGAAGCACAGTTACCCATCAGTACAGTTGAAGAAACACAGCCACACAGTGCCATGTGGGTCACACCCACATATAACAGGGTAACTCAGAGGGCTCACAATGAAGGGCCTGGTCTCCAAGGCCCCACCCAAGAGGTGTACCCAGTGCCTCTTCATGGTTTTTGCAATCACATATATTGGCGTGGGCAACGGCTAGGTGTCTGAGGAGTTGCTTTGCCCTTTTCTACCCCTGCTGCTGAAATGTGTTCGCACAGCAGCAAAAAAGTCGCAATTTTGCGTCAAAAGATTACATACAGATTGTGGACAAATTTGATAATGGCAGGGTGGCCGAAGCCACAAAGAAAATGTGGGGTGCATGTCACCCATACACCACGAGTTGCCCACCCATGTCATATATGGATTATCTGTGTAGTGTTCAACAGAGGGAACATATGGTATTCTAGCCAGGAAGCTGATATTTGTGTATCTCCCAAAGAAGAGATTTTTTTAAACTATCCAGGACGCTTCAGAAACTTGCGAAATGTTACTCAGTGATGTGGCTTGCTCAACTTGCTGGACTCATTGGAAGCTGAGTTTGTTCTGGATAAGCTGCAGCAAGTGCTGGATGATTGCCAGGCAATCTTGTTAATATGCAACCCCTAGTGGGAACTGTCATTTGGGTGAAGCCAGCCATCAAGGGGAGAGGGTTAAAAAACCTTTGCAGAACCTCAGTGAGCAAGCTGTGTCATACAAACTGGGCTGATTATTTCACACAGAGTTTTGTATTCATCTGGCTTCACTTTTAATCCATACCTTTGGCTGTTCTGTGCACAATGTTAGTGTATCAGTCTGTTTGCTCATCTGTAGCATGCTGATACTACAGATAGGGAAGGTAAGCTAGGCACAGGAAATGCCATGCAGGTGGGTTCTTTTGGCATTGTGTTAATTGAGCCCAACATAGCTGGACACATTAGGGTAAAACACTTCTCCCTGACATCTGTGTGGAAAATAATTAAATTGTCTGAACCTTCATCTGTAACTTTAATGTGTACTAAGGGACAGATTTATCACCTGATGTGCTGTAAATTAGAATGAAGCTGTTTTCTTGTGTTAATTCTGAACATGCTCTTCCTAACTAGCTTAATTTTGATGAAAAATATTGATGACATCATCCTCATGGTATTACTTTGTCTGTCTTCTTGGCAGTATTCCCCCAGCTGCATTAGACCTTTTTGATTATATGCTTGCTCTGGATCCCAGTAAACGCTGTACAGCAGAACAGGCACTTCAGTGTGAGTTTCTGCGAGATGTGGACCCTTCCAAGATGCCTCCACCAGAGTAAGTCCTTTTTGATTGAACTTATCTGGTACAAAACCCAGATTTGAATACTTCTGTTCTATCAGCAGAGGCCACTTTATACACAATGCATTCAGTTTTTGTGTATGTGGGGTCTAGTATAGAACATAGTGCAAATATGTTACACAAGCATACTCTTGGTAATTTCTTAAAATTATATCGAATGGCTGGCATTATGTTGCTTTGCAACACACGAAACTTGAAGTTAAATCTACTGTACGAGTATCACTTGTAAACTGAACAAGTGACATTTATTCCAGATAAGAATAAATATGAGTTCAGTATTCACTGTATATATCCTCCACTGATTAATTTTACTTTATACATCATAGAACATTTAAATTGTCTACTAACTATGTGTCTTCTTTGTAAATGTCTTGTATACCCACCAATATGTTTAATGAATCAGTTGTTGATATCCCAAAAGGATTAATTTTCTAATTTCCATCAGTTAAATTTTGTGTGTTCTGATAAACATAAAGCCAAACTAGACATGTAAGTATTGGGGGTCTCTTTGTCAGTTTTTATTTTACTACTTAGTATCTCCATAATCTACTTTGAAGACATTTCTATTGCTTCAGTACTGCTGCACCAGCAACTGTGCTAGTATGTACAATGTGGATTGCTGTGCAAGTGTAACAACCAAACCATGTTGTGCCATGGCTATGCCTTGTTGCAGGATTGTTATTCCGGTACTTCAGTATTTATCGTGTTTAGAAATCTGATTTCTAAAAATGCCCAGTAATCTCTGAATGTACCCAAGTAATGTACCCTTGGTAGGACTGTGTTCTGCTCAGTTGGTGCTTACTAGTTAGGCTGTATGTGAAGTTGTTGCCTTTCCACACCCCTAATATATGGAAGCTGTGTCATTATCGTTAGGCTACTTAGACCTTACAAATATAAATTCTATGGCTTCAGTACACCTTGTGATCCTACTGCCTTGTGTACCGCTGACATCCAAAAATGCCATTGTGGTATAACCTATTACAAATCTTCCTCTTCCCAGTGAGTTCTTCAGCACAGAGTATCTTTCAAAGAGCTCATCCTCATTTATAAGATTTAAATCAGGGGTCCTCAAACTTTTTAAACAGGGGACCAGTTCACTGTCCCACAGATTGTTGCGGGGCCGGACTATAGTTTGAAAAAAATATGAATGAATTCCTATGCACACTGCACATTAAAAATTAATTAAAATAACTTTTAAAAATAATTAAAATTAATCAAAATTGAAAATAATTATTTTTTTAAAAAATTAAATTTTTAAAAAATAATTAAAAATAAAAACTAATAAAAAAATAAAAAATGTTTGTTCTGCTTGCTTGAGCTGCAGCAGAAGCCCAAGTTGAGGAGGGGAAGAGCATGTCCATATTCAAGGGACATAGCTACAATGGCCACAATTGTGCGGTGTGGGGGAGGAGATGGGTGTGATCGCGCTCATGCAGGGAAGACAGTGCGATCACGGCCATCTCCCCCCCCCCCCCCCGCATGATCGCAATCGCCTTCCCTGCATGAGCATGCCTGCAGTCTCGGTCGTATCCCTACCCCCCACAAATGATTGTGCAGGGAAGGCAGGCGTGATCACGGGCATGCTTGTGTAGGGAAGGTCGGTGTGATCGCAACCATACCCCCCTCCCCCAGGCACGACTGCGAACACTTCTCTACTTTCCCTGCACGAGTGCAACCACAATCGTGGCCATCTCCCCACTGAGTATGCTTGTGCCGGAGAAATCGTTTTCTCCGAGCGAGTCTAAAAGCTCTGAGGGGAGCTGCATATCCAGACTAGCATGGTGGGCCGGATACGGCCTGCGGGCTGTAGTTTGAGGACCCATGATTTAAATGGTACCATTCAAAAATATGCTCCTTCTACACCTACTGGAAAAAGAACTAAGTCGAAAAGATTAATATTTGCAAATGTGTGTTTATAGGTACTTCTTGCCACACTCTTAACTTTCTTTTGTTTAAAATAACCATGGTTCTTCTGGCTCTCCTGGGGTTTCATGGCCAATCATATGATGGTTTCCTGGCTTTTGTGCATCCCCCGATATACACACACTCTCTCTAAAATGTACAAATACCTCTCCTGACTGACTTCCTGCAGTGAGAGCTTTAAGCTAAAAGATGCTGGTATTTTGGGCACATTCAATTTCTGTTTTGCCTTGCCCACCACTGGTCTTGAATAGTAGAAGTGCATCACCTCTTACTGCTGTGAAACCCCCTAGCAGCAAGTGTTTTCCTGTGCTGAACAGCTGTACTTCTTTACTTTTTCAGCCTTCCGCTATGGCAGGATTGCCATGAGCTGTGGAGTAAGAAGCGCAGAAGACAAAAACAGATGGGCATGACAGATGACACAGCTAAAATTCCAAGGAAGGATTTATCGTTAGGGTTGGATGATAGCAGAGCCAACACCCCTCAGGGCCTGCAGACATCTTCTCAACTGAAAATACAAGGCAATTCTAACATGGCACTTGGTCAGTAATTTCTCATTTTAAAAACGCACTGTGCACTCATTTGCCAAATATCTGTATAGGATTATATAATTGAAGTTCTGAAATGTTATGTAACTGTTTTACTGGAGGTAACTGATTGGCCTACGTTTAGTTGTGTTCTGCTTAGTATAGTACTGCTGTCAGAGGCATATGGCTATGTCTCATTGATTTTAGATAATTTTTTTTCAGAACTGGAGCACCTCTGAAGAACAAAGAGGGGGAAAGAGTTTATGTCACAGTCCAAAGAGCTACGATTGGAGTATGCACATGTTTGCATATTCTAAAGCCAGATGCTGTGAGCAGAGCAAAGGAAGTACAGTGGTACCTTGGCTCACTAATGCCTTAGTTCACTACCAAATCAGGTCGCAAAGAGAAATTTCTGAAAAATTTTGCCTCAGGTCGTGAACTCTGCATCAGGTGATGATTGCGATCCCGCCCATCTCCCCTCCCCCAGAGCACACCCGCGATCGCACCCATCTGTGGCCATGATCACGGTCATGCTCGTGCAGGGTTGGCGGCGTGATCGCGGTCGTGCTGTGCTGGGGAGACGTCCGTGCTCGGGGTGGGGAGATGGCCGTGATCGTTGTTGTTCTTTGTCACTTTGCTTCAAATTTTTGATTAAAAAAATAGTTACAGAACGGATTAACCTTATTTACATTGAACCTGATGGAGAAATTTGACTTGGCTCACGATCAGAGTCCTGGAATGGATTAAGTTCATGAGGCTAGGTACCACTGTATTGAAACTGTTGACAGCCAGCCTGGGAAACAAGGGCTGCTGACAGTCTGAGAAATGTCTTGTCCCTCCTTCTTGCCACTGTCAGGTTGTTTTTGCTTGATGTGCACATTCTGTTCTGGCAAAGAGAGGTGGTCACCTGGAAGCAGCAACTTCTTGGAATCTGTATGCCTTTCATTCTAACTTTTATGCAACAGCTAAAGATGGGATGTGCAACTGAAAAGTCAGGATGCTCATTTTGTAGACATGCAGGCCTTAATATGTTGGTTGAGGATTGATCACATTTTGAATAATTTCATCATATATTGGGGTGTACCATGTTTTTGTTCAATACAAAAATAGATTTTCATCTCAGATTTTTTGCTCTTAGCTTAGTTGAACCAAGTGCATGCTGAGACTTCTCATATTGCAACTATTTATTCTGCACTATAGTCCCCATCATTACCTGTTTATGCTTGCCTACCCCAGCATACATAAATATTAACCTTACACTGTTAACATTGTTTCTTCTCATCCCAAAGATATCTTTTTACATTTTTGATCACCTGTAAAAAATCTGAAATTAAAGTACAAATTGATTGCTGATGGTTGAGTCACTCTGAGCACTCAGTTCTTTTTGTTCTTAGACATAAACCCAAAGTATAAAGTGGTATTAGGTATATTCCAAAGAACATGAGATATTACTCAACAAAAACTATTAGAATTTTCTCCCCTGCATTTTGAGTTTCAGAAATTTACTATGTATTTACTATGTTTGCTTCTCTTCCGCCTTGAACTCACTGCATTTTGCTACAGCCTCATTAAAGAGAGGTCATGAAAAGTACAGTTTTGTGAATCCTCCTCAATACCTTTAATTGTGATTCAGGTTTCATTTAGCGTTAAACTGGTTTCAAATACTTTTTCACAATTTTTTACAATTAACATCATGGTTCAGATATCTTGAAAATCTTGAAGCAGTGTGTGCAAATAATTCCTAATTATTTCTTGAAATTTCTGTTATGGTTAAGGACATCAAAGATGGGATGCATGTTTTTGCAACCAAAAGTAGAAAATGGTGGAAGAAGTAACCCATTCAAACATGTTTCTTTTCATTCTGAGTACACACAATAGAATCCATTTTCATGGCATTTTGACATTCTGTTTATACATTTTTTTCCACATGCAATCTGCAAAATTATTTCAGCTTTCTTGTCAAAAGCCCACATTGGCTGTAAAAGGATCTTTAGACCTGGTTTATACAGTCACCTGTGTTTATGTGATCATAAACCAGCTATGGTGAGCTTCAGGCTCATGCTTCAGATGGAAAGGAGTGAATGCTTCTGTTTTCACTTTAAAACAATTCTATGAGATTGGTTGCAAGATGGAAATGTGGTTTGTTCTAAAGTGAAAGGAGAAACGTTCACTCCCCTCTGAGGAGGTGGAAGAGGCTTATGATGATCACCTCAGCCATTGACTAGGCTATCAGAACCAGGCCATGGTCTGTTCACCTTTGCTTTTGAGCTTGAGTATGATCATACTAATCACCCTTTTTCTTGGTTTTTATTGTCTTCAGTGAAAGGAGGCAGCAGTCAGTCACTAAATCAAAATGAAGTCGCCATTCTTCTAAACCTGCTCCAGTCTAAAACTAGTATTAATATGGCACAATTTGCTCAAGTGCTGAACATTAAGGTGAATCCTGAGACTGAGCAACAGCTGAATAAAATAAGCCTTCCAGCTGGCATTTTGGAAGCAGGAGAAAAACAGCCTGAACAGCCGCCGCCACCACCACAGCAGCCGCCGCCGCCGCCACCACCACCACATAAGGCACCACTGCCTCCCTCACCGGATCAGGAGCCCTTGAAACAAGCAGCGCCCCCTCAGCCTTCTGTACAAACTGTTCCGTTGTCCCAAAAAGCTGACACTGAGGTTACCCAAGCAGCTGTGCAGAGCGCATTTACTGTTTTGCTTTCTCAGTTATTAAAGGCTCAGCAACAGAAACAGAAAGAAATCATCTTAGAAGAAAAGGAGAATGGATCAGGAAATGAAATGCCATTACATACCAGGCAACCTCCAGAGCCAACTACACCTGCATCCAGCAACTGGGAAGATGCAGAATCCCCAGCATCCATTTATCCCCATCTTATCAAATCACTGTATGCATGTGCAGGTAGGAGTCTTTAATAGTGCGAGAATTTCATTTAGACATGTTGGAAGTGTGCATTGCTTGAGAACAGTATGTTGTTGATTCAAGAATGCCTGTTGAAATGTTGTGTTAGAGTACTACATTATGTAATGAAGATTTGCTTATATTTACATACATCTTTCTGATGGGTTCTTTTGATTCTTAGTAAAGATGAGTCTTCCTCAACCTGGTGCCTCCAAATCTTTTGGACTTCAGAGTCCCATGCATTCCAGCCACAATGACCTACAGTTAGAAATTGCAGGAAGATGTAGTCCAAAATAGCTGGAGGGTATCTGGTTGGGGAAAGCTGCTATATCAGTAGAAAACTGGTCCTAGCCACATATGCATTACAAATTGAGGCAGGAATCCAGAGAGGTGTTTGCTATTCCAAGGTATCATAAACAGCTTTTCTCGCTTGCCTTACTTTAAAAAATTGCTTGGTATCTGGCATGGTTACTGTTCAAGAAAACATCCTGTAAGTATTCAGAAAGATACTTAGTTCATCATCTGGGTATAGTCTATCGTATCCTTGTAAATGAAGACTAATATTGCATATTCTATAACAAGGAATACAAGTTAGTTAGCAGTATCATAAAATTATTTTGTATAAATTTTCTGGCTAGATAATTAATGAGGGACACTCATCACTTATTTTGTAGATACTGTATTTTAGAGGATTGATGTGACCCAAGTTAGTTGGATTTAGAACACTGCTCATGCAACAGGGCTGTCCTGGTATCTCTTCAAGCTGTTACTGAGGGTCAGTGGCCTTTCTTGATCAGTGTGAGAAGGGGCACTGGAGGCTGCAGTGGGATGAGAAAACGGAAGAAATTTGGCAGGGCTGCTTTTGCATAAGCAGAAATGTTTTTGATTCAGGTTTTTCAATGCTTGATAATTATTGTTTGAGTAATTTCTGGTTACAGATCTCACTCTAAATAATTTAATAATCAATTTAGGGCAAGATGACTTGGTCAGGCAACCTGAGATGAGACCTCAAACACCAGAAGAACGGCCTCGCATCTTGCCCCCAGACCAGCGGCCTCCTGAGCCACCAGAACCCCCACCTGTCACTGAAGAAGACCTTGATTATCGGACAGCGAATCAACACTTGTCTTCAGTTAGTAGCTCTTCAGGGATGGATCCTCATGCTGGAGTGAAAGCAGCTCTTCTACAGCTGCTTGCTCATCACCAGGCTCAGACAGCTGAGAAACCAGCAACATCTAGTGTGGATTTCCAGTCAAGGGACTCCTTTGTAGCAGGTCCAGACTACAAGGAGAGTTTTGCATCTTCTACATTCGCTTCTGCCCACTACAGCAGTAGTGATGGAATAGGAAGTGGCTCATCTGGGACATTAGAAAGGGGAAACTTCATTGGAAATTCTGATGTTCAACCTTTGGAGAACTACAATACTGCTTCATCTCATTCTAGTGCTGCCCCTCCACCTCCTGCCTTTTCAGAACCATTTCATAGCTCAGTAACTGGTTATGGAGACATTTACCTCAACGCTGGTCCCATGCTATTTAGTGGTGATAAGGACCACAGATTTGAATATAGCCATGGTCCCATCACAGTTCTGGGTAACAGTGGTGATACATCCACAGGGTCTGGGTCTGAAAGTACTCATACTTTGTCCACAAAGATGCAGAACTATAGCTATGGGAGTAATTTACAAGAACCTCCTGGCACTGTTGGCCACATGCATGGACAAACTTGGACTTCCCCTGCCCAGGGACCTGGATACTCACAAGGGTACAGGGGACACATTAGCACATCAACAGTCAGAGGACGAGGCAGAGGATTGCCATATTGAGCATCTATTTTGTTTTTTCCCTCAGGCACATCATTTTTACCTGGAAAGACTTTGTAGCTGTGATTTTGAAGCAGCAATCCAACAGACTTGAATAATGTTAATTCAACAGCTTTATTTTTATGTGGAAAAGGGTCTTGCATACAATAGGAAATTGCTTACAGTTCATGCTGTTCTGAGAACCAGATAATTGATTGTACATCTTTGCAAATTCTAGCTATAAATTTTATATTTTGGCAGTTTTAAGTCAATGCTAAATTTAGGGACATCAGCTTTTTATGGCACACTGTCAGATCTCAACTATGCACACACTTGTGCTTTTTTGTAAGTTTGGACCAACTTTTATGTAAAAAAATTTTACAACAATCAAAGCAGGGCACTGATTTATTTGGTATTTCTTTTTACAAAACTATCTTCAGTCAAAAAGTCACTGTCAGTCTTTGCACTGCTTTCAGTGTTATCTGTGGAAGGTGTTCTTTGTGCTCATTTCAGACAATAAAACACAGTCTTTCTTGATACTACAGTTTTATACATATTTGGGCATTGATTTGAATTACTTTCAAAGTCATTCTTCTAGTAAAATATCCTGTCCATCTTCTCAGTGTTTGTATAAAAAAACTGTTTTACTTGAATGGTAAGTGCCTTAACGATGTAAGCTTAAGGTCTGAAGAACATTTCATTAAATTCAAGGCTTGTTTGAAGGTACTTTGTAGTTTGATACAAAGATTTAATATTTACACTACATAGATAGTAACTTATGGACAAATAGGATACATGGCATTGTTATGGATTCTCATGCTGTTAGATGAGTCAGATTAAGAAACACTTAACTTTCTTTTCCTCTAAATTATAACCACCCCCACATCAAATTAAGTGAAGTAAAATGAGAATGTATGGACAGTAATGAAGGTAGGTTTCCTTCAATTTTCTGTAAGAGCTCTTAAATTCCTTTACCAAATAAAACTTAGTGTCCTGTTTTATTCAAAACAGTCTTTTTATTTAAAAATGGTGTAGCATTATATCAATTTACAAGAATTAGTTTGTGTTAGAAAAGTGACACATGCTTTTTTCCACGTTATTGCTGCAGAATGTAACCAGAGTTACATAATCAGCATTTAATGCAACAAAAACTTAAAACAGTTGAAATTTCTGGAAATGGACTGTGCCAACCAAATCTGTATTAAACTATTCCTCTAACTTGCTACATGATTTCAAGCTGTGTTTGAATAATTTCACCATACATTCATTCTAAAAGCAAAAAAAAAAGGTTACCTGTAAATTCAGGCTTTAAAGAGTATGCTTTTTAGCAGTACAGTTTGTCCTATGAGAAGGGACTATGCCCCTCCCCTACAGAGACAGGGCCCAGCCTATGTTTTCCATGTACTGAAATGTTTTAAAATGACCATATTGGAAAAACAGTTCCCAACTGATTATCCAGTTGACAAGCTAGTGCACATGTAGCTATTTTCTACACATGTCATGTTTCTATTAAGTAAATTACAAATGTAGTCTTGTCAGCTGTGACTTGAATCTTTTAAAAGTGAACCTATCATTGCTTCAATTTTTTGATCTTGATTTGAGTGGATATTGCATTTGTAGGGTGTCAAATTTGTTGGAACTCCCCTGTAAATACGGCATTGGTCATCTTCAGTATCATTTAGAGAATCCTGACTGAAAATAAAAGCCCTTAAACTGGAAGACAACATCTTGTGATCTTAACAGCTTGTGTTGACATTTCAGCTAGAGGATCCTGGGTTGGAACAGATTTTCCTGAGTAAATCATTTTAGTAAAGACCCCCACTCAAAAGTAAACACCCTTCAGTAAAAGCTGCTTACTAAAACCTTAGTAATTTCTTTCCTACACCAATCCCACAGACAATTTGCATTCATATACAAAGTAGAGAATTAAAGAATGGCTACAGTTCAGTGTTCAGTTTGCACATTTGGATGCTTTTACACTGAGGCTCTCCAGATTTCATTTTCTGATTGCAATTCCTGGTTCTGTGTTGAAGGCCACTTCAGAAGGCTTCTTGGTTTTGAACTGACTTTCCTAGCAGCACAAGGTCTATAGTAGGTCTCAAATTAAGCAGCTCTTGCTTTTTATTTTTTAATTCCACAACATATATCCATCTCGCAGAGAATCTATATTGATGCTTAGAATAATGTCTCAAGTTACTCTTAAAATTTTTTCTTTCCATAAATCTGGACTAAGGTCAGCCTCCTCACAAAGAATTCTGTGTTCTTTTGAACTCCTTGCAACAAATCTATTGAAAACTCAGCAGAGTTACCTCTGCTGCACTCAGCAGTCTCCTAGAGGTGCTTCTAAGGATTTCAGTTTTGGAATAGAGAAATATGTATCTTCAAAGCTAAATATGGTAAGAGCTCTATATACAAGCTGCATGGTTTGATCCATGGCTGGTAAAGTTATCTAGTCAAAAGTGTATTCCAGAGCCCATCAAGAGATTAAAAATCTTAAGGCAGGTAAGTGAAATAATTGTGTAAGGCAAATGTTAAAATCATAAATACAAGGAAGCCATTTTTTCCTGTTCCAGGTAAATGCCTTCAAGACAACAGGCACCTGAAATTCGGCAATTTCTCTGACAGCTTTACAGTGGAATGATTCTAATGACATTTTGTTAGGCCTATGTATTAAAAACAATGTAAAAATCCTTAGTCTTAATCTAACAGTGCATTCTTTCAGGGACAAGACCAAGTGGCAAATTATAAACTAAGATAGTATGCCATTTTCATCAGTGTAAATTCCACAGTTTACTATTAAATCTTGAGAAGTAGATAAATAAGGGTTTCCCCCCAAAAAGTAACTACTTTTAGAATGGTGGTGGAGAGCCAGAGACCCAGGGACCAAGGAGGGCCTTCCTAGGATCCCAGTTTGGTCCTTTCTGATTCTCCAGATGGCCATGATGCTTTCCTCTGGCACCATCGTCTCTTCAAACTACAGTCTTCAAACCATTTTTGATAGTTTCCCAGTTTTCCTGCAGTTTGTGGCTTTGGAGTTGTATTTTCAGCCCTGCACCCTGTGTCTTAGCTCTCCATGTCTCCCACAACAGATTTTCCAAATTGAATTCTGCCTTTGCCTTAAATGAAAAAGGTCTCCCATTCCTATCACAGACTATTAAACCAATTCAGGCTATTTTCAACAACTGGCTCAGATTGGCCCACTTTTGAGCTCTCTTCCCTTCTACGCTCAAGCAGTAAGGCCTGAAAGAGAACGTTCACCCCAGGGCTTGCTTTTTTATATTCATATGCCAGAATTCTTGTCTCATCTCTTTATAGATACATTGAAATCAATAGGACTTTAGTCATGACTTTGTTATTAAGTCTGGATCAAACTCAGTGGCTTGGATTCAGGGTCGTCTTGTAGACATTCCTTCCCCTGAGACTTCTGTTCCACTGAAGCAACTGTGCTCAAGTTACAAAGGAGGAAACTCTTTTTGCCAACTGCCCCTTTCCCTTGAAGTCTCACATGCCCTTGAAAATCTGCCCACAAGATCTTTCAGAAAAACACAGAATGTGATGCTGGGTAAGGAAGAAATTGGTGAAGGCTCTATCTTCTTCACAATGGCCAATGTGTGTTGAATGCAAGGCATACTCCTATTGGTAGGGAAAAAAGATGAATCCAATCCATAATATTACTTTATGATTTCAATTATACTGCGCTAGAAAACACCACCAGCAATTTGCACTAGAAAAATGTTATACACTCAGCTTCAGCCAAAGGGAACGAAAATTGTTAGATAAGAAAAACTGAGTAAAACAGCAACTTACAACACTTCTTGTAAATGCTACTGTTTGAACTAGTATACACATATAAAAAGTCCAATATCTCTGTCCTGGATGGGAGTGTCATGTGTATCCTTGTGTCACTGAAGGAGGCCTAAGAGACTGGTGTCTTAAGTCAAAGGCTGGATTTCTTAATAGGACATTAAAACAGATGATTCCGTAAAGCTAGGTACAAATATTTGAACAAACACTGGCCACATAATGTCTGGCAGAATCACCACACAAGTGAGCAGAAGGCTACTAACAGCGCAATCCTATTTATATCCACTCAGACATAAGTGCCACTGGGTTCCATGGGACTTATTCCCAGGTAAGTGTGAATACAATTGCAGCCTAAAGGATTAAACATGCAAAATAGAGAAAATGAGAGAAACTGGTGAATTCTTGACAATGTTGTGCTTAAATGTTAACAAGATTTCTACACAAATGGTAACTTTCCAGCTTTCTTGCTGTTTACTAAAGAGTTATCTGTACAGATGTACTGAGTTGATGTGTAAATAAATAAATAAAAAGTTTACATTCTTTATTTGATTTGTACCCTGCCTCTTCACAAACAAAACAGTGCTGTCATAAGTTGAAAAGTGCAATACAAATTTGGTTAAAACAGTAATAAAATGCATCTGTGAAGCACAACAATAATAAAAAGGTACCCAGCTAAACAGACTGGCTTATGTGCCAAAGGACTACTTATAAAAATGCTCATTTGGTCCATAGCTTGGGAGCACATACCAAATGTACCTCCAAAGGCAGCAGTACCAGTACTGACTGAAGTGCCCCCCACCCCCCGAGATCTTAAAACCCAGGCATGATCATGTGGGAGAGTATTTAGCCCAGTCTTGAGTCTTATAAATTTTTATAAGTTGTAGCTCACACTTTTGAATTATACCTAGAAATAGACTGGTAGCTATTGAAGCTGTTGTGCCAAGAGGGTTTGTGCTGTAACTGGTTCCAGTCAACAGCCTGGCTGCAGCTTTCTGGGCTTGTGGAAATTTCAAAACAACTTCAAAAGGCAGCCCCACACAGTATGTTACTACAGTCCAAACTTCTGAGGGCAACTCTTCTAGGGACACCTCAACTTAAGATCTAAGCCAAATTCTACAAAAAAGCTTATGATCAGATGTTTTTGAAACTAGACATCTTATACATTACCCCAAGAGTGTCCCATTGAGCTCACTGGAACTTTTGACTTAGACATAGGCTGTAGATTAGCAAATTCAAATAAATAAATACTCTTGTGCAGTCAGAAACCCATTGCGCTTTTGCTAAAATTAATCTGAAAATATTTAAAAAGAAAATTGCACACTGGGTTCATTGACGTCTAGTATAACAGATCTGACAAGCAAATACCATACCACAACTTCCTTACAATGTGAAAGCTTTGGGCTGCCTTCATCTTCCCCAAATTAATCTATGTCCTGCAGAACAATGATAGAAGTGAAAAAGGTCAACATGGTCAACAACATTACATACTAGTCTCACAACATCCTTAAACCCTTATGTTCCCTTGGTGTTTCAGCGCCAGGGTATCAACCATAACAATGTTTAATAAGAGATGCATTCCAATTCTTAAGATCACTCACTTGCATAGGTTATCTAATAAGGTACGTTTTATCCATGGCAATGGACAGTATATAGTTAATTGATATTTTCTTCATAACAACTTTTCTGGAATTAATGTCTTTTTAGGCAAGGTTCCACTTTTTAGTTAGCTATCAAGATGTCTTTTGAGTGGTCTGGCATGTCACTCTAGTCATAACTTTCTGTAGATGCACCACAAGCCTTATTCTGGTTGTGGTCATATTTTTGGGAAGAGGTTCTATCCCAGAAATCAGTGTGGTACTGAGTATACCACACAGGATCTGCTCTTGTAAAAAATGTAAAATTACAACCTAGTGAAAACTTCACTTCCAGAGGAACATTCAAACTGTTGTGTTTCTTTTCCACTTTTTGCAGGCCAGTTTATAACAAACAACATGCAAAGGCTCCACTAAATTTCAGCTGGTCTAGCTGAGTTTTACAATAATGGGGATGTTCAAGCTTCATTACTGAAAATGTCTGAGTTCTACGAGGCTCACACAGTTCCATGTTCCTGAACTCCTAGAAAAGGGAGAGCACCCTTAGGACAAAAGAAAAGGCTATCTGTTGGTGAGGGTAACGTGGACTCGTGAACAAAAATTAACCCGGCTTATTTTGGGGATGACATATATGTATTGTTGCTTTACAATGTGAATTTTCACAGTATGTCAAGTACTTCATATTTACAGGAGTTAAAATATTTTGCAAAGATAAGCTCCTCACAAGTATTAGTAGATACTACAAAAAGTACCACTTGAAATTTTTTTTTTCTTAACAGAAAGTCAGTATCTAGCATGCTTCTTCTGGGCACTAGCATCCATCCACTGTTCTCATTTTCTAGGTGAACTGCTGTTCCTTGTCTTCTATTTGCAGCACTGAAGATTTTGGAATTTTAAATAGAAACACTGGACAAAGTTGAACAAATTATTTAAGTTTCATCGGCAGCATCAGGTTTTATGTACCTGGCTGGTCAAATTGAATTTTTCAAGCTCTGCCACATCATGCCTGAAAAGACATTCAGAAATAAAGTCCTAATCAAATTTCCCCATTCTCCCAGACCATAGGAACCCCTCCTTTTACCCCTCTGAGGCTGATATTGAGGCAGCTGGTACAGTTCTTGGAATGCATTGCAAGGTGTCAGCTCTCTGTTTGGAGCATAAAATACAAGCCATCCTATAGTCCCTGAAATGATTGCCCAGGGATCACAGGATAGCTCACTTACTCTTATAGCAGTACAAGAGAATAACCCCAGTTAGTTTCATGGCTAATTACATGGCCCTGATATTACACAATGCATCAAATTAAAACAGTGGGTACTGACTATAACCATACTGATATTTAGTATGTAGAAATGACTCTTGAAAGCACTGAGTTATCAACAGGTACAATGACTTTGCTACACTGCTGTAAAAGAACAAGGCAAATGGTTAGCTAAATTTGAGGGTAGGATGGCCAGTAATTACAGTTGGCAGCTATTTAGGAGTGTTTTGAAATACTTTCATTTGATACAAATAAGCAGTGTTAGACCAACTTATACCAAATGATTAAATAATAGATCTAAATTATTTCAATGCAGTTTTCCCTGTTGAATTTATCTGTTCCTTAAGCATGCATATAGTATGTTTGAAGACAGGGACATAAGCTATTATGTGTTATTAACCCCCCCACCCACCCACACCTAGATGTAAATTAAACAGAACCGCTGTACAAGCTCTGAGATTCATCCAAAACCTCTGCTGTTTATGGAACTCACATGCCTTCTGCACTGCATAACTGTGTTGGTGAATGGTGTTAAGTAATTCATGCAAGCTCCCTTTGGAGATTAACAAGTTGTTCTAAGTATAATGATCCATTACACCGGGGGGGGGGGGGGGGGCTGGGGAGGCAAAGAGACTCCTACTTTGTCAAACTCCCTGAATTACTACATGACAGTGTTGGTATCTGGAAAGTTCTGGACACATTCCAAATAAAATTGTGTATGCTTTGCCATTGTTTCATTACAATCTGTTTTCTTTAAGGATAATTTAATTCAAGAGAGATAGTATAACTGATTTTAAAATAAATACAAACTGTAGCAGTTTAACTAACAAAACAGTTAAATTTTTTAAATACTAGTGAAGGAAGATCCAGTTCTAATGAGTGTGAAATCCCAAGTGGCTTACAATTACATGTATTATTTACATTGGTTGCCTTTTAGTTTCCAGGTCCAATTCAAGGTGCTAGTTCTGGCCTTTAAAGCCCCAAATCATTTGAGATCACATTATCTGAAGAAGGACAGCCTGCCTAAGAATTCAGATCAACATTGGAAATCCTACTCGCTGGTTAACCAACAAGAGCCATTACACAGGTGAAACCAGGACATGGTTTTCTCTACATATGAGACTTTGTCCCTAGCCAGATAATATGGTCTCATCACTGCAGGATTTTTAATAGCAACAACCACCAGAAGTCACATTTATTCCAGTCGGCACTTTGTACTTAAAATTTATTCGCTGCTGCTATTCGTGCATTTTACTTTTCTGTTAACCACCCTCTAACAGAAAGGTTCCTCTGAAAGCAAGTAAAACATCTTCAACATAAATGTAATTGCAAAGGGAAGCATGTATTAAATGGGGCCAGATGAATACACCTGAAACTCCAGGAGCATCTTTTTTTTAGAAAAGTTCAAACGGAACTTTTAATTTTTTAAAAAAAGTCTAAGATAGTTGCCCCTAAGTTGGTAACCAGAAAGTACCAAACAGAAAGTACTCGCATAGTTTGTTCTGTTCATAGACTTAATAAAGAAGCAGTTCTGAGATTCACAATCTAGGGAGGAATATTTCATATACACGAAATGTTCTTTTAACATCCATGTCCAGAAACACTTATTTTTTTAAGCAGGGCCATTTTAACATTAATGGGTAGGGCTAAAGAAAAGTTGCTTAGAGCAACTTTTGTGTCCAGAGCACAGACATAATAAATTTGTTTCTCTAGTTTTTCTTTTATTAGTCAATTTACTTCTTTAGGTTTAAATTAGAAAAAGGTCAAATGTTTGTGGATTACATTGTTCTTGTTATACAATATCGTTACAAAAGTAACAAACCAGAAGTTATACTGAAGTGCCAAATAAACTCATCATGAATTCTGTGGAGTGTTACCATTAAAAACCTCTACTACTTTTATTGAAGGTAAATATCTATTTACTTGACGGTCCACAAACCTGAACAGAAAAGGACAAAAATTTAAGATAAATGCCTAAATAATTATCAATTTATTATTGTGACTTTTTTCATGAAACATTACTCTTTTTGAAGTAGCCTGTTTTGAAAAACAGGGCAGAAACACAGAACCACATGTCAATGCTAACATGTTGCACAATAATTTTTACAATTATTTTCATTTAACAAGAACCCAGTACTCTTGTAACTATCCCAAATTCTTAAACAGGAACACTAGCAAAACCTATCATTTGAGGTATCTTTGACTCTCCATAATGTTCACACAATGCTACTTTTTTCCAATCCAGAGATTTTCGTATGTTGGTTAAATGTGAGTGTTTTGTACAAGATGGTATTTTCTAAACCAGTAAAACTATATTCCTTAAAAAAACCTCTTCTGAAATATGAAAATACAGTTACAGATAAGTTTCATAATACATTGTCCCAGTTTCCTAAAATTATTTAACACTAAATGTTGCAATACTGTATAAAAAGTTTATAACCTACAACTGTTAGCAGAAAACATGGAATTTCTATAGAATTACTTTGAAGTATGACTTAACAAAAATAGTATTTTTTAATTCTACAAAACATTTCTTTTATTTCAAAGCCATCTTTGTTCTAAAAATGTTCAACATAAATGGAGATACCACTTCTTCACCACAATAAACACATTGTACAATTAGGCATGGAAGAGGTAAAAACTAGGAACAGTCACAAATCAATTTGCTGGTGACTAAGAATACTTTATTCTTCATAGCTGGATGGCCCCCTTCCATACAAGAACAGTAAGGTATCCTATTACTCCTTTCTTCTCATATAAAAATATGTGATGCAGTAAAAATGGCAGGATAAAAGTATGGGCAATTCAAATAAAACATACCTAAATCCTTGATTGCATGTCATCTTAAGTATGAAGTTTTTTTCCCAGTTTCTCACAGCTGTGTTATTTCACTTCTAGAAATGTTAACTGAAATACCTCCCCTTTTTACCAGTGTATGTTGTTTGCTCACTGCTGAATTGCTGGTTAACATCTGTAACAGATACTGGCTCTAGGCCTGCCCATGGGTCCTCAAGCATTGAAGGCTTGTAATAGTTTTCCACATCATCATTAGATACTCTTTTCTCTCTGCCATGCGGTGTACCAAATGGAGTAGATGTCCCGGGTGATCCCTTTGAGAAAAAAGCCATGAGGCAAAAGAACAGTAAATAGTCTAATTAAAAGGTAAGCTTTCATCCTGTATGTTCAAGATCACCTTAGAGCCCTTAGATTTTGGTACATTTCTTCTTTTTAAGACTTTTAGTTTGTATAAGTTAACCATTACTATCCATGAGTTAAACAGTGATTTCTACCCTAAAGATATAATTTACTTGATTGTGGTATGTAAACAATACTTATCTGTCTAAGGATGACACAGGACTGAAGTAGGTCTATATTAAAATAAATATAGAAGTTAAATAACTGTATGTTTTAACCTTCAAAACAGATAGGGTCATCAACAACGCTCAGGCTTCCTCAGTTTGCATTTCAGGGGCACACTGTGATACTGGACTGGTTCATATGATCAAACAACACATACCAGTGTGTGTGATTGGCTGTTTAGAATATTCAGCTGAACCCAGGCAGTAGCGTTTGTGAATGACACTACACTTGCATAATACATGGTCTCTTCTAGGTTTATGAGAGGATGGTTTAACCATCACTGCTGGTCAACACAGGGGGCAGGCGGAACATTCAAAGACTACTTGGCATGTGCTGTGCGTCACCATGGCTTAAACAAGTGCATTGCATACATACATAGTCACTGGACTAATTTGCATGACCAGAACAGGCACTGTGGGCTATTTAAATTGCAATGTATGTGCAGCGTGATTTCAATAATCACCATCTGGACGTGGCTCTTTGTATCACTTGAACTCAGATGGCATGACTTATTGGAAGAGGAAACAACAGCCCAAAGGTTACCGGAGGATTGTTTCCCCTCCAAAAAGGCATGTTGCCCAGGAATGGATGGCATGACAAATGATGCTCAGGAGGTGGTTATTCATGGTGGCTTAATCTACAGTGGCTTAATATCATGTGAAACTCTCATTCTTCTAGCTCACATCTTATCTCACTTGCTGGAAAGGCTGGGGGAGGAAGAAAGAGCCCTGACTCCAAGCTTGTATTACAAATGACTATCTCTATCTACTCTTCTTTTGTATGGCTCTGAAGGAAAGTGAGGGAGCAGTAGTTGCTCCTCTCTTGGATGCACACCTTAATATGGGGAAGAGGTTTGAGAATATCAAGGAAACTGAAACAGTGCTTCCAGGAGGCCATACTGGCTCACTTGGCTGGCATCCTAGCAAGGTCACTCAAGAGAGGCATCAGACCAAGATGCACTCACCTTCTTCAAGAATAACAGCATCATCAGCAGAAGAGAATGGACATCTCTAATGGTGATGAAGACAGAGAAACTCCTGAAGGGCAGCTACCAGGCAGCAATGGTAGTGGAAGGTGACACTGGCAGAGGACCTTTCACTTTTCAAACTAACTCTGGTTAGTACTGTGCACCAGGAGGACATGGTAAACTTCTAAATTATCTCACCTTGAAAGCCTTATGGTGAAACAATCCAAAATAAAGCAAGAGATTGTGCCAGAAGATGAAACCCCCAGATTGGAAGGCATTAAATGAGCTACTGGGGAAGAGCAAAGGCACATATGAATAGTGCTGTCACTAATGATGCCACCAGAAGAAAGTAAAAAGAAGTCTAGTGACTGACATGCACAGAGGTGAAAGGAAAGACTGATGCTATTAGAACATGAAATATGATAAGTATAAATCAAAACAAACTGAAAAATGTAAAGCAGGAAATAGAATACTTAAGTATTGCAGTACTCGGTGTTAGCAAACTGGAATAGAATGAAATATTTTCAATCAGACAAACACCAAGTGTTTTACTCCAGAAATGAAAAAGTCAGAAGAAATGGGAGTGGCTTTAATACAAGATGTAGCACACACAGCAAGAGGTTGTAATGCAAAATCCAACCAATAATACCTATTAGAATGTGTGGAAAACCTATCAACATAACCATCATTCAAATTATGCTCCAACGACAGATGAAGACAACTTTTTTCTGGCCTTCGATCTGGGAATCCAAAGAATACTATAGGTGCTGTTTAGCCACAGGAGTGCTCTGCCCATCACTGATTCTGTAGTGTGAAACCCGTATCCCCCAAATAGGCAATCTGGGCTCTTTAAAATTTGAAACATGGCTTGTAACCTCCCATATCCACACCTTATTATTCAGCAGATATCTTTATATCCAGCATCAATAAAAATTGCATTCAAAAACTGAAGGAATCAAATATGCTAAGTCTGCATGGGTAGCATAAGATTTTTCACTGTTTTTCCTTCTGACGGGAGCACACATATACAAGAGCTCTCTATTTCTAAACGCACTTTACTATGCAAAGAAAAAGTATATTTTCTATACTACGTTTTCTACTACTATGTCTTCACCATGTGAATTTTGCACATGTGCAAGTACAGCCGTTTGTAACCCTTCTACATATGAAGCAGGCCCTCTTCCCTCTACCCTTCCTTCACAATGGAAGTACTCGGTATTGCATTTGCACAGTGATCAACTGCCAGCTGAAGTTCCAAAAGCGTGTCACTGCAACTTTTATTAAGGCCAGTGAATCCTAAAATAGCCTGGCTTGTTGCAGTTTTATACCTGACCAGCCGGTTTCTCCTAAGGCCCGAAGCCGCGGTAACCGTGTTTACTCGGAAAAAGAAGACCCACGGAGTTTCAGAATGCTTTCTGAAGCCAGCATGCCTAAATTCGCACCGCGCTCACGCCAAGCCAGAATCCCAGTCGGACCCGACGAGAGCCTCTCCCCGATAAGCGCGTCTCGCAAGGAAGCTGCGCTCCTACGAGCACTTCCTTTGCGAGTCCAGTCCGGCTGAACTCCCAGGTCACAGCGCTCGACACACGCGCGGCCTGCACCGGCAGTTAGCGCTATATTCGCTGCCTCCCCCCCATACCTGGCTGTATCTGTGGAAGCCCCCCGAGGGCGGATGCCTGAAGGGCTGCTGCTGGTAGAAAGCTCCTCCGGGGGACCTGCTGCCACCACCGCCGCTGTAGGAAGCCGAATACCTGGGGCTGGCACTGTGGGGCCTACGTGGTGTGTGCGCCGCCGTCGGAGACGGCCCACCGAACCGCCCCCCGCTGCCATCGCCACACGGCTGGAAGCGAGGAGACCGGGCGGAGACTTCGTAAGGCCGCGAGCGCTGTCCGTACGGCGGCGTTTGGTGGGGGCTTCTGTGGCCTTGTGGAGAGGCCGGGATGGGGCCTCCACCTTCCGCACAAGGAGGGCTGCGGAACCCCCCGCCGCCTAAGTACGGCGGCGTCGGAGGAGGGAAATTCTGTCGGTACATGGCGATAGCGGCGGCGGCCGGAACAATAGGCCTCTCCCTGCGCCCGGAGACCTCCGGAAGGGGAGGAGCACCAGGGTCACTTGCACGTCGTTCGAAGCGAAACTCCTCCGCCTAACGTTCTCGCGTAGGTTTGTCTACTGACTGTAACTGAATGTAGACCATTCCGCGCGAAAAAAAAGTTCCTCAAAAGAATTGGAGAAGAGACCATTATGAGGGGCGCCTAAAGACAGGCTTCCGTTTTCGTCTGGCTTGTGGGGGGGGGGGGAAACCATAGCTTTTAGCAAGAGATTCTTACTTGGCTGGATTTACTGTTATTTTTTAACTAGAGATCCCCATAAACCCTAAGTGCGTTTGTTTCGAATTTCCACTAAAGTCAATAGTAATTTATCTACCTCTCACGGGCAATCGCCTTAGCGCTCTTCAAACTCTTTAGCCTACAACTCCCACAATTCCTCACCATTTGCAAGGGCTGTTGGGAATTGTAGGCCAAAAATGGAGGAAAACCGGTCATTCCTGATTTAAACTCGCATTTGCAACTCCCGTATAAAATCGAAATATTTATTCAGAATGTTCAGAATGGAATTCAGAATGTTCTCCTGCTGCTATGCTTTCAAGCATGATTTCACTCTGCGGCATGCTTTCTCGAAAGGAAATTCCGCCGATCTCTAGTTATTTACTACCAAATAAAGTTTGTTAATATGTTTATATATGAGAGCTACTAATTGGGCTCACGACACTCAGGGACTTCAGAGCAAGTAACACTGACCGTCAAATAAACGTCAATAGGCTGGAATAAAGAATCAAAACTGCTGCTGCTATTAAAGAACTGGGAATCTTTCTGACCTGCAAATCACCTAGTGATCTACCAGGAGGTCCTGATAAACACTCTCCAACCAGTCTTGCTGGAGAGGCAATGGGAACAAGGCTGCCACATTCTCTTCCTTCGCATTCCCACATGCACATAGCGGTAGCACTTCCGTGCCTAGAACGACACTTTCTTCCGGCCATCTCGAAGGGAGGAAGAACGGACAATGCTTCACCGTACTTCACGTTCACACGGGTGAGACTTCTGCTTTGCCATAGTGCAGTAGTTAAACCACAGAGCCCTGTTCCTAACAATAGGTGACAATAGCAAAATAACTGCAAACAGTGAACACTGCTTCAAAACAAAATACGGGTGGGCATTAATAGATCTAATGAGCGATTAAAAGTTCACGTAAGGTTACAGAGGGCTGGGCAGACAACAATCCTACAACTCCCAACATTCCCCAGACAGTAAGGAAGAAACGCCTTTCTCGCCTGGTGAAAAGTTCATCACGTCTCCCAACATCTAAGGCGGCCCGGCGGGCGGAAGAAACCGCAGCGAGGAAGGAGGAAGGGAGGCGGGGCCCACCTCTTGACAGACAGTCTGGGAAGGCTGAGCCTTGCGCTTGCGCATTCCTTCTCAGCTGCCCTCCGCCTCAATTACGCCCGCAGCCGAGTTGAGAGGCGAATTAAAATAACATAGTGCGCCTGCTCAGTGCACGCCTCCGAGAGTTTGGACCAAGAGTCCAAAAGTTTGCTGGTGCACGTTGTCTACTAGCTTGCTTTGGTTCTCACGGGTGGGTTGTTGTCAGCTGCAGGTATGCTGAGCGCTGAGCTGGGAAGAAGGAGCCGCTGCATGCACCGTCTCTTGGGGAGCCTGTGCCCCGCTCTGTTCACCAGCATCGGCTCCGCTCACGTCCCCTTGCGCTGCCCCCAACCCTGTCCTGGCAGCTTCAGGGGGCTGCAGCAGGGAAGCTGCGCTCCTCCAGGTAGCCGCTTTTAACGTACTTAATTCAATAAAGCCAACGGTTGTTGTGACCCAGGGTACGCTCATCACACGTGCACGCTGTAGTGTGGGGCAGCGTGGGGAAAAGTTGGGGAGAACTTCAGTCAGACTGACCGCACGTAGTAAGTGGCAATAGTAGTTCTTGCTTTCTGGGAAGAGGCTACGCATCCTGTGCTTCATTTAAAACTAAAAATAGCATCCGGAGTAAATATCGCTTAATTCAGTATGCTATGCTGCTGAAGCAGGGCTCAAGAGTGCCACCTTTCTAAGAAATAAATCTCACCGAATTCATTAGGGCTTATTTCCAAGTAAATGGTCTTAGAATTATGCAATACAGTATTTTTTCTCTAGGAAATAGAGCCTTACATTCCAAAAGAAGCATTTCTTAATGGGGATTAAAACTTCTCCTGCACGTGAGCCCAGCCCAGAGAGGCTCACTCATATTTTAATGGTAAAATACCAATGCTGGCTAATGTGAATTCATAAGAGCCATAAGCTGCCTTTGGCACTGGTCTGTCTCTTGGATCCCCAGTGTGGTTCTTGTGGGTGCTAGCATGCCCAAGGATGACGCCTCTGGTGGTGCTTGCCAGGCTTCCTTCCCTTCCTGTTTTTTTCCCCCTTTAATTTTGAAAAAAAAATGTTTTTAAGAATAAGAACAACTGAGAAACCCACATGCAGTAGGATGGGAAACAGTTGTTTCTATTCAGATATGAAGCAGGCCTTCTCCAAACCACAATCTTATGCATGTCTACTCAGAAATATTCAGCACTGAAGTCAGTGGATCTTAGCTTTACTCACCATCCTAGTTAGTGTTGATTGGCATGCAACCTTACCTATGTTCAGACAGAAGAAAGTTGTACAACTCCCACAATGCCCCAGTATGGTCAGTATGGTCTGGAAGTTGTAAGCCATTCTTTTCTCTAGATGTCCATGGAATTTGCAATACTGAGCAAACTTTAATCTTTTAAAAAGAGCATTGCAAGATGCAAAAGAGGACAGGGCTTCTGTAGCATTAATAGTCATGCAGAAGAGGCCATTTCTGTAGCCACATTTCTATGCCACTCTACAGGTTCAGAATCCCTGTCCTTTTTGGCATCTGGCCACCTTGATTAAATCATTAGTGCTATTTCTCCAGAAAAAGGTATCATGTGTACATCCCCTGTTCCTTCAGACTTTTTTGGACAGAGCTGCCAGCTTAGTGGTTTGGGCAGGAAAATTGTTTTGTTTCTCCTAACACTTTTTCTGAGAGAAAAACATTTATGCCAAGTGGAACTTGACAGTGGATTTACAGAATGCCTATACATGGCAGCAAAAACATCCTTCCAAAGGACAGCATATTGGATTTTTTTTTTTCATCCGTAAAACTCTCTCTTTTAAGGTTGAAAGCAAGATTTGTGGAATAAAATAAAATATTACACTGTATTGTCTAGGCCAGCCTTCTCTTACCTGTTGCCTTTCAGACATTTTGGACTAGCCATCCTGGTTGGGGTTGATGGGAAATAAAATCCAAAATCTTGGATGGGGAGCACAGGTTGGGAAAGTTGATATCGTTTCCCTCTCTATCTCTTCCCATTGAAGAAAGATTGCTTCTTATGTTCTGCACATAGGGCTAGTCAACCATATGATGGAAGTTGGACTGGAAATATTAGTCATATAAAGGACTGATAAATATAACAGCATTTTTTCTGCTTATAACTAGGTGCCAATAGTGTGAAGCCACTGGATGGTGTGAAAATTCTTGATCTAACAAGGTTTGTGTTTCTTTAGTTTGTATTTCAGAACAAATTTTAAAGCTTCTTCGTATGGTAATATTAGTATTAGGAACAAAAATTACTAATGACTTTTTAACTCTGCAGAGTCCTTGCGGGACCTTTTGCTACCATGAATCTAGGAGACCTTGGAGCTGAAGTTATTAAGGTGGAAAAACCAGGTAAAATTATTTAATTTTGCATCATACCAATTTCTAGAGGGTAATCCTGTTAGTCTTTTGTAGCAGAAACAACAAGGAATCTTGTGGCATCTTACTAAGAAAGTTATTCTAGCACAAACATTTGTGTGCTACATTTGAGACCAGATGAATGGAGTGTTATGGAGAGTTTCAGGGTTTTTATACAGAGCATATGCAGGTGGGGGGGAAAAGCAGAACTTTAAACAGTGAAATCAGAAGGGAATTAAATGCGGAAAGCACTGAGAGTGACAAATACATTATTGATGGTGGTAATATGCAGTGTGGCTGTTGCAGATTGCACTCATAAACTGGCATTAGGTTAGCCAATTAACACATGCAGTATGATATAAAGTAGCTATCCTTGGGAGAACTACTGGCAATGGGATTAAATCTGTTGATGAATTCAGACTTGGCAGTCTATGTGCTGTAGTGAAAATGAAACTCTCCCACGTACTCTATGCATCTGATGAAATGGAAAATAGTCCCGGAATGTGAGATGCTATTTATTTATTTATTTCAAAATAAATTTGTTAGCCTTTAAGGTGAAACAAGACTCTTCATTTTTACTTGGTTTAGTGTTATTCTGTGTCAAGTCATTTTGGCATCATCATCATTTTCACAGTGAAACAAAGATATAAATCCATAATGGCCAAAATCCAAGAGAGACTTAAGCATATTTAAGATGTATGATTTTAGTGGCTAAAAGCACAATCCTGTACATATTTTGACAGGGAAAACCCCTTATAACTCACAGCATACTATGTTATAGGTCTTTTTCTGGCTAAACATGCATAGAATTTCACCCTAAGTAAGCTTAATTGATTCAGTTGCGGCAATTTGATTTCACAATCATCTGTATTTATGTGGCAAAAACAATGATTCTTGTGACATCTTAAAGACTAGCAACTTCATTCTGGGGTAAGGGTTTGTGGATGCTGTCCACATCTCATGAAGTGTTCACGAAAGGGTATGCTAGAATAATTTTGTTGCTTTTTAAGATGCCACAAAAACCTATTGTTTTTACTGTAACAGACTCACACACCTTCGCTCTTTGTATGGTGTACAAACTGTTCCTTAGTCAATATCCTAAAATCCTATAGGGTGCAATCGAAAGTCCTTTGCACGCAATACATATAACCATTCAATTTTCACCACCTTGCATCTTACACCTTACATTCTTGGCCATCTAGATGAAGTGTTGCTCACTGAGGGGCCCAAAATAATCCTAGGCTCCCACAGGCAATGTCATGGGGCCATAGGATTGTGCAATCCTATATCTGTTTAGACAGAAAAGGTTTTACAGCCTTCAGTACTCCTTCAGCCAGAAAATGCTGTAATACTTTTTCTGTCTACATAGGCAAAGGATTGAACCTTATACTTTGCTATGAATATAGCTATTTTTACTTTTTAAAGGCAGGATGGGAGTCATTTCACAACTACTTCATTTTATTCTGAAATATTTTATCTCATTTTTCCTAAAATCAGGGCAGTTTATGAATGTAATTGATTCAAATACCGGATATATTTTAAGGTTAAAATTCTGATAGTGATCTTGGGCTTCATCTGATGGTAGAAAATCAGTGTGGTGGTTTGTTGCTTGTTGTTCTAGTCTCAGTCATGCCTGACCCATCGTGACCCCATGGACAACATTCCTCTAGGCCTTCCTGTCCTCCACCATGTCCTGGAGTCCACTTAAGCTCACACCGACTGCTTCAATGACTCCATCTAGCCACCTCATTCTCTGTCATCCCCTTCTTCTTTTGCCATCAATTTTTCCCAGCATTAGGCTCTTCTCCAGGGAGTCCTTCCTTCTCATTAGGTGGCCAAAGTATGTGAGTTTCATCTTCAGTATCTGGCCTTCTAAAGAGCAGTCAGGGTTGATCTCCTCTAAGACTGACTAGTTTGATCGCCTTGCAGTCCAAGGGACTCGCAGGAGTCTCCTTCAGCACCACAGTTCAAAGGCCTCAATCCTTTGGCGCTCAGCCTTCCTTATGGTCCAACTTTCACAGCCATACATTGCAACTGGGAAAACCATAGCCTTGACTATATGCACTTTTTTTGGCAGGGTGATGTCTCTGCTTTTTAGTATGCTGTCTAGATTTGCCATAGCTTTCTTCCCAAGAAGCGAGCGTCTTTTAATTTCTTGGCTGCAAACACCATCTGTTGTGATCTTGGAACTCAAGAAAACAAAATCTGTCACTACCTCCATTTCTTCCCCATCCACTGTATTTGCTAGGAAGTGATAGGCTTGGATGGCATGATCTTAGTTTTCTTGATGTTCAGTTTCAAGCCAGCTTTTGCGCTCTCCTCCTTCACCCTCATCAAGAAGTTCTTTAGTTCCTCTTCACTTTCTGCTATTAGAGTGGTATCATCTGCATATCTGAGGCTGTTGATATTTCTCCTGGCAATCTTAATTCCAACTGGTGATTCATCTAGCCGTCTGCCTTTCTCATGATGTGCTCTAAGTTGAATAGGCAAGGCAACAGTATACAGCCTCGCCGAACTCCTTCCCCAATTTTGAACCAATCAGTGGTTCCATGTCCAGTTCTCACTGTTGCTTCTTGACCCGCATACAGGTTTCTCAAGAGACAAAAAAGATGGTCTGGTACTCCCAACTCTTTAAGAACTTGCAACCCTAACCCTCGCTTCACATTTAGACTTCTGTAACACCTTTTATGTGGATCTGCCATTGGAGTTGTTTTGGAAGCTACAGCTAGTGCAGAATGTAACGATTTGGTTGCTCAGTGAAGGACCTAGATAGCATGTATTACAGCAGAATTAAAAGAGTGCAGTAATTGCCTATTAGTCACTGAGCCATGTTCAAGTTTTTCTTGTTAACATACAATTCACTAGACAATTTGGGACCAGGATACCAAGTTCACCATCTTCCCTTATATATGTCCAGTCAGCTCCTGCACTTTTCTGAGGATACATCAGCAGCAGTTCCATCCCCAATGGAATGTCATTCGAGTAATGGCACGAAAGTGGTGGCATCTGCCTTCACATGTGTGATTTAAATGGCTGAAGTGGTCACAAATGAACCTGTTTATTCAGCCTTTCTCCAACCTGTAAAGAATCAGCTATTGCCTCATTTTATTTTTATTATATCTTGCATTTATCTTGTTCTGTTGTTAATGTGAACTTAGCCTTTTTAATAAAGTGGTATAAAAGCCTGATGAATAAATGGAAATATGAAAAGATAGCTGTATAAACGTAATGCCTGTTTGTGTCTTTCTTAAAAGTTATTCATTCATTCATATTCATTTTAAACATAATGTTACCATTTTATCTTTAAGATATATTCCACAGCATATGTCAAAGACAAGATAGCAAAATCATAAGTTTAGAAAGAAGCAGTCATCATTGCTTTGCTAATAGGCTGCAGTAGTTATAATTAGTTACAAATGTTAGGTTCTTGAAATATGTAAGTAAACTGATGATGTGGCTGATAAAGTTTGTTGCTGTTGTTTCTTGGTCTTATGAGCTGATAGTTCTTAATTTGAGCTCTATCATACTAGAAACATTTTCCATGCTCTGTTTCCTGCTTCTGCTTCCCAGGCAAGAAAGTACTGCAAAAACACTCTTGTGACCTCTGGAAAGAAAACACACCACCTGTTTTTAGTTTTTACATCTGCCTTTAGTGAAGCCTTTTGCTCTGGCATGTTAATTGCACATATGTTACTTATCGGAGTTCCAGATGTCTTAACAGGTCGCTGTGGGTACTTATCTTATGTATTATATATATTCATTACTGGTGTCCTGTGCAAAGGTGTGTGTGTGTGTGTGTAAAATATGCACATTTTCATAGTAGCTTCAGTCACAGATCTAAGAATCTGCATGTTTTGAAATGGAGAGAAGCATAGAGTAGGAGTTCTGGGCTTGTACCGCTTCTGAAGGAAGATGGGGGAAATCATGTTTAATGTTTATATCCATCAAAATTCCATAGTTCCTCAAAAGGTAACATGTCTGGCCCTCTTTCTCCTTTTCATGTTAGGGTTGCTTTGTATAGGGGGATGTTTGTGTGTGGGAAAGCATGCAAACATGAAGTTTCTTATGTGAAATTTGAAAAAGTGCAGTCAAAAAATGGTCTGAATGGACAGATCAACTCTGATTTTTCATCTACTGCACTAAATTGGGTCTGATTTTGATCCTGGAGATACATGTTGTATTAACCACAATAATTAATTGTAGGGCTACCATTTTCATACTAAAACTAGCCTGATCCAGCAGATGATAAATCAGCAGATTCTTTATGTCAAACAAGCTTTACTTGTAGGTTTGAAAACTGACCAGAGAGTCAAAAGCCAACCTGGTTTTCTCAATTTCATCAGCAAAAATCAGCAGTGAAATGTTATGGAATGGAAATAAGTATTGTTATCTTCAGCTCTCTGTAGCTAAAGCTGCTGTTAAGCCACAGGAGGAGGGTGATGGGAAAGAAAAGTTGGTAACACCAGTTTTTCATTATCAGCTATGAGAAAAATAGAGTTCTGTATATTTATGTATCTTTCACATCCACCATCAGCAGTGGGAGCTCCATGGGCATGAGGGATTTTGTTAGTTATTAATATTATAATAGATAAATCTTCCTCATACTGGTGTCTACCAAAGGATTTCAACTACAACTCCCAGGATTCCTGACTTTGGCCATACTGGCTCAGGCTAATGGAAGTCTATTTATTATATTTATATGCCACCCTGAAGGCCAAAGGGCTCTCTGGGCAGCTTACAATAAAAGCATGAACAGAACAATCAAAGCAATAAAACAATAAAATAGAACAATAAAATCAAGAATAAAATCCAATTAAAAAATAAAATCTGACATTCTGCAAAAGAACATAGCGAGCGAGTAAGCAGACTAGCATAGAATGAAAACCGAATTGGCTACTAAAAACACGTTAAATTTTAAAAAAATTACTTGGCCCTGGAAGGTGAGTCTTGATGGCACCAAGAACACTTCTTTTGGGGGGGCATTCCATAAGTGGGGTGCAATCATGGAGAGGGCCCTTCTAGCCATTTCCCCCTTCACTTCATTTAGTGGGTGGCTCTTTGTCAGAAGGACTTCCAACAAAGATCTTAGTGGTCTGGTAGGGATATATGGAGACAGGTGTTCCCTCAGATATCCCAGCACCAAGCCATTTAGGGCTCTCTATGTTAATGCCAACACTTTGAATTGGGTCAGAATGACAACAGGCAGCCAGTGCATCTGAGGAAGGACCAGCATGCTATGCTGTCAAGGACTGGTCCTTGATAACAGCCATGCTGCTGTGTCCTGTATTAATTGGAGTCTCTGAACTGTCTTCAAAGGCAACCATAGAGCTCGTTACAGTAGTCCAGGTGAGGGGTTACCAGCGCATACCTGTGGCAAGACCCTGCTCATCCAAATAGGGATGTAGCTGAAAAATCAGCATAAGCTGATAGCCACCAAGTTCAAGCCCAGACACTGGTTAAGAACAGTTGAGCTTTGAGCAATTGACCAGTCACATTGGTCAAATATTGTCAAATAATATTAATTTTTGTAAAAATATTACTATTGTTCAGAGATGAGAAGAGACACTTTATTCATTAGTTTAATACAAATGCTATCACGATGATTATCTGTTGCTGCAGAACAATGGCAATGGCTATTCTTGCGTCATATAAGCATGTGTGTATTTGTGTATTTATATACGCATGGTGGTGTATGTATGCACTCATGTAGAGATACAAATCAATTCATTAGTATTTTAGGCTCTATCACTGGAACCCAGGACTCAGTAAATTTTGAAGTGCAGGCATTCATCATGCCATAACATCTCATGCAGCCACAGTTCCATAATACGCACAGCACAGATGCATCCACACATTACTCTAATCATTAGGGTTTTGCAGTTGTAAATTGGCAAAAAGCAGTGTTGTGGCTAGCCTGTTCTTATGTTTCTTGGCGTTTATGTTGCAATGCAGGACAGTGATGGAAATATACTAACATAGGCCATTCCCATCTACAGGAGCTGGGGATGATACAAGATCCTGGGGACCTCCCTTTGTTGGAACTGAAAGTGTTTATTTTCTCAGTGTAAACAGGAATAAAAAGGTAAAAATATGTCTTGCTACTACTTCTAGACATTTTAAAATGCCAAATCATTTATTCCCATCTGCATAATCTTGATCACAGATGCATATAGAATTGTCAGAGCAGAAAGTAATTATAGCTACAACTGACACTGAGTGGTTTTTTTTAAAGTAATGATCACTGAATACAACTTGTTGCAATCTTAATAAGAAAATTTCATTTTTCTCCATTTCTAGAGCATAGCAGTTAATATGAAGAACCCTAAGGGAGCAAAGATCATTAAAGAGGTATGTTTTAATTTTAAAAAAATCTGATTGATTTGTCCTGGTTGAAGATTAAGGACTTTTCCAGAGGAAATGGTTTTCATGTTGAAGATTATGCAATAGATTTGGGGAGGGGGCCTTGCTCAGTGATGGAGAGCATACTTTGCATACAAAAGCTTCTAGGATGATTCCCTGGCATCTCCAGGTAGGCCTGGAACCAGCTTCTTATGCTCCAAACCTGGATCTCCACTGCAACCCTCGAGGATGCCATGCCACCTGCCAAAATGCTTTGTCCCTCCCAAGTTTTAGCTCCTCTTGTTCCTGAGTGCTTGTGTCTATGGCAAAGCAAAATTCCTCCATCCATTTTCTCAAAAAGGAAAGGAAGATGGTGTTGAATGAAGGCTAGATGTTTGTACCTTGCATTATCCACCTGTGGGGGAAAGAAGAGGGACAAGGGACTCAGCACTTCTAGGTAAGCTTGGGAGGAGGCTGTGGCATGATGGGTGATTGACAGGGAAGGTAGCAGTATGTTGAAGGGGGGCTGCATATGGGTAAGGATGATGCTTCTAGGGGAGAAAGTATGTACAAATGTGTATGTGTGTGGTTGATGATCCTGACACAGAGAGAAATATAGGGCCTGTTAAGTTTGTTTCCAGTGGGGAAATGATTTGATTGAAATTAAATAGGATTTGGTTTGGATAGTGAATTGGGGGAACCAATTGATTTGAGGTGCTCTTCCTGTTTTTTATGGAAATAAGTTACCTTTAGAGAAGTCTATATAATGGTGATTTGGAAGACTTATTTGACTAGCGTTTTTTGAAATGGATGTTCTGTTGAAAGAGAAAGGCTCAGACTCCACCCCTGCCTTGTATTCAGCTATTTAGGCAAAGTACATGTCTTTCAGCATCATTATTTTGCTATCTGTGAAATGGCTGTTTTGTGACTGGCTGTCCTCTGCCCCTCTGTGACAGCCATTGTATTGCTACATCCATGCCATTTCCTTGGAATTCCAGATGTGCTTATTGGTCCCAGAAAGTTAGGGACCCCTGTTCTACACTCATAATGTTCCATACCTAAACTTGCCGTCCCCATGCAGGTGTAGCCCTATGAAAATAGTACTATTAACTGAGAACACCAGCTGTATGCGAGTTGTGAATGTTTCTTAGACATTTCAGATAAATGATATGGTTTTTTATAGGCATACTTTAAATGTAGCCCACATACAATAATGTAATTATATGAGCCAAGAAGCAGAAAATGCTTCCTCTGATTTTATACTTTACTCTGTGTAGAATCTTTTTATTAACATAAAAGGGACACATATGTTTCTGTACCAAAGCTGGTATACTAATTCAAGAAAAGGACTTTTGCTTTTCTTTACTTCCCTTGCTCTCTTCCATCCCTGCACAGAGCAATTCAGCAAGGAAATATTAGACCCTGGCCTTACAGGGTGTGGGGATGGTGGAAGGGGTGCTATAGATGGCCTGCGTGTTATTAAGTTTAAAACACACAGGTAACATTTCATTCCTCCCAGTCACTATTTCCTGCTCTGCAGGTGCTTCTCCATTCCTGATATGTTGGAGCAGAAGCATAATTGTTAGCCTGCCATGACAAAGAAAGCCTTGGCCCCCACAACCCTGAGCAATTAATTTTGCATGTTAAAGTCACTTAATTCATAGCGACATCATGCCCAAAGGATTAAAATGCCATTTGCTTCGGCTGCTCTGATGCCAGGCACACCTGCCTGGGAATGAACACCATTTTGTTGTAGAAAAACTGTTAATGTTAAAAATAATAAATTGGGTGTCTGTAATCAGCCCCAGGCAGAAGAAAAAGAAGGCCAAATATAAGAGGGATTGAATCCATAAAGGAAGCCACTGCCTTGAATATAGGAGACCTGAGTGGGGCTGTCATGGACAGGACAATTTAGAAGAATTTCTTTCATGGGGTTGCCATAAGTTGGAGACAACTTGATGTCACCTAACAATGATGACATCCAGCCACATCCTTGCCCAGATGGCTGCCCAATAATTATGAATTGTAAAAAAAGGGGGGTGCAATAAAATGATAAGTGGTGAGCAGAGTCTACCTTGGTGGGCACTGGTGTTCCCATGCCAGGTCTTGTCCTCAGATGCTAACCTCTCAGTGTTTGCCACTGTGTCGTCATTTTTGTCTCTTGCTGGACTTTTAGACCCCGGACAATGGCCCCAAGATCCATCTCTAGTTGCAGCTCTACCTACAAAGAATGAAAGTCTGCATCTATATCATTAGGCGACTGGAGTTAACCAACTGGATCAAAGATGTTTTGTCAGCTTCAGATGATAGCTAAGGGGCCTAACAACACCTCGTTCATTATTATAACTTACCAGTGACACTATTGTTCATAGCTTTTGGCCTGCTGAGATTCCTGCGTGGTTGTACCTCCTCAGACATCTTAAATAGCTGCAACAACAGCCATGTAGCTCTCTGCCATTTCTCTGGGCTTTGCAAGAGTGGGATTCCATTTTCCATTCTTGGGGATATCAACACTGCTATTCCCCAAATACGACTCCATCATGTAGGGCATGGAACAATGATCTTAAACTACGGTACATCGAGTGCAGGTTAGACACAAGGAAGAACTTCCTAACTGTCAGAGCGATCCAACAGTGAAACCAGTTGCCAATAGAGGTCATAGGTTCTCCCACACTAGAGACATTCAAGGTGAAACTGGACAACCATCTGAATGGGATGGTGTGACTGTGGCAGCAGCAGGGGGTTGGACCTGATGGTTTTCTTGGCCCCTACTGGCCTTACTATTCTATGACTCTGTGATTCTATGCTTCCATTGAATGGTCATCTTCCTGCTTACCAGATCCCAAAGATATCTTTCTGCTTTTCTCTGTATACCTAAACAGGTTAAGCACAGTTTTTGCTTAGAATAACCTGTTTTAGAGTGCTTTAAATTGGCCAAGAAATTATTTTCTGAAAAGATTATATATCAGGTTGATTAGTATAAGTACATTGGAATGGGTTTCTGTAAACTGGTATCATATCAGTGATCACAAGCATTATTGTGTGAGCTTGTTTTGCTGTGCTTAAGACTAAAAAGAAGGCAGTCCAATATCCAGAAGGAGAAATGGAAACTTAAGCAACAATTAAGTTGTTGTTGCAACAATTAAGCAACAATGTAATTCAGATGTTACATTCTGAATTAATCAAGTGACTGTAATGCTAAGAGAGTCTGGGAGAAAAATAGGATGTAGCAAGAAGGGGGTCTATGGAATATTTGGCTTCCCATTTAGAGGCTGAGGGATCTTTCCGGTCTCCTTTAACGTCTACAGTTTAATAAGTTGAACACTAAGATATGAGACTAAGGAAGTATGTTCTTGTTTGGATTATTTCATCTGTAACTATATTGAAGGACAACTTGGACAGCCTTTGACACTGGTAGAAAACTGTCCATTGGGACTTTCTTAGCCGTCCCATATGTCTCTGTCAGACCAGCAGCCAAATTAAACTGGCAACAAGAACTACTTTTATAGGACAAGGTTTTTGACTCTCCTTAATCATTTCAAATCAAAGTAGGGAAAATTTTCCCATTATTCGAAGAGTGAGAATCTACAGATGGATAGGAGGTTGATGACAAAAAGAAAATGATTATTTCTATGGCTTTTGAGCTATTTTCTTCTAGCCAATGCATGCCATAGACATTTTGTAATCCCTGTCAGACTGAAAGAAAATGAAACTCTCTCAGTTCTGCTTTCTTTCTGGTTTTCAACCTTTTTTACCACTGGATAAATGCTCCAAAACCACCAATTTAGCAAACAAAACAAGGTTGAATTTGTATTGCCTCAGGAAATGAAGCAGCTAATGAATGCAAAAGAACTAGTAATATACCATTCTGCTACATCTGCTTGTATATATCACTGGTTAAAATAACAAAGCAAAACAAAAGCACTTCCATTATAGATATTTATTCCTTTGATTAACTGAACCAGTAGTGGGGAGTCAGATCTCTTCCACAGAGATTGAGGGAGCCTTCCTAATGTTTGGCTTACTTATCTGTGACTAAGCCCCACTGAACTCAACGGGAATTAATTCTGAGTAGCTAGGTAAAGGATTGCACTGTTAATTATTTAGGACACCATTGATTACCAAACAAAAAGGGCCCTTTGGGAGTAGAATAAAGCCCTTTAGCCCTGCCTTGAAACATTTGGAGCCAGAAATCAGAGTATTTCGCTTTAGAAAGGCATTTCTGAAAATAAAGATAGTGTTGGAGGCTGATATTTTGCTGAGTAGCATATCACCCTTATTATATTTAAACAATATTTAGAGAGTAGAAATCAGAAAGGACAGGCAGGTGGCAGGAGATCCCTCAGAGCTACATAAAGGTGAACTTATATTATCCTTCCTCCTCCCCCTTTTTTGTACAAAAAAGGGTGTGTGTATGTGTACTTCTAATGTATAGAACTCCAATGTGCATATAGAAATGGAAGATATTCAATACTCCTAATGCTGGAGGTTTCCTTTACCTCTTGAGGCTTCTTTCAGTACCTTCCATCCTCCTTTTTCTGTCTCCCATCTCCATCCCAACATCAGGTTGCTTCCAGAATGACCTATGATAGCATTATTCCCTAAAGTCTTGTTGAAGGGTTCAGTTGATCCGCTCAGGGCCTCAAGTTTCATATTGCCAAGAGTCTACACATTATACTCTTTATTAAAATGCTAGCTGTGATAGTAAAAATATCATTCACTATCAGCTTTGGTCATCAGCACAGCAAAGTCAAATAGAGGCTTTTGTTTCCTTTGTATGTACTCCTGAAATGAAGAATGAGATCCACAGTGCATTTGTCCTGTCAAGTGACTTCCTCAGTTTATACCACTGTGACAACATGTATCTGGGAAATGGAATATTTTACCAGAGAATTTCTCTCTAAGGTAGATATGATGTCTGTGGTGTAATTGGACTCTAGGGTGTAAAAGAATATTTGTACAATTCTGTAAATTTTAATTAAGCAAGGCCTGTTTATTTTATGACTGGTGTACCACAGCCAGGCCAGGAGCTTGTTTACTCAGATTTTAAATTAAATTTAGGTAAGGAAGTTGCTGAACTTTTAGAAGTTCATTAAGAGTCTGACTCATCTTCACCTTTTATTTCAGCTTGCAGCTGTCTGTGATGTCTTTGTGGAAAACTATGTCCCTGGGAAACTGGCTGAAATGGGCCTGGGATATGAAGACATTAGCAAGATTGCTCCTCATATTGTTTACTGCTCAATAACAGGTATTTTAATTTGTTTTGTGGCTCAGTGGTAAAGTATTTAGTAATTTCCTTTGTTTTCTCTGGTATTTTGAAAGTGAGCCATTTCTTTCTCAGATTGCTCTTTTATTTCTCATTCTGATTAGTGGAGTGGCGGTTGTGAAAGCTGAGGTAATATTCCACCCCCACTCTCAGAAAACCAGGTGCAGCCATGGATAGGGAAATGTTGATACTTTCCCTCCTTCGCCTCCCTGCTTTGCTCCAAAGCTAAAAATTGGATTGTATCATTGTAACATTGCTTTTAGCTCATAGCATCCTGTTTGGCCCAAGCCTTAAGACCCAACTGGAATTTTCTCCTTATTGTGATTTGTTGTCACACAAGAAGCCCAATTCACACATAACCTGACAGTGTTAATGCTGAGGTACCATATGTGAAAATGCTGTGGTACCTCCATGTCAGGGTTGCTTGCTGTACCACCAAGATGCTTTCAGTCCACGTTGCTTGTTTGAATTACCACTGCAGTGTTTCTGAAATACTGGTGAGGGGGTTCCAGTCTGTATGAATTTGGACAATTTTCCCCCTTAGTGTTTTACTGCGACTGAGCAATTGCTCTTGACTGAGGTGGGGTGAATTCCTTGCCTAGGAGGGCTTCCTGCTGCCCCACTGCTCTTGGTTCTGGAAGCCTCCCCAGTCCTCTGCTTAGGTTCTTGGAGCATACCAGAAGATGAGTGGCGGTACTTGGAGGGCACCCTGGTGGCTGAGTATTGAAAGGGATGAGACAGCAAAATCCCTTCTCCAATCTCAAATGGTGGGAAAGCTTATGCTGCCAGGGGCCCCTGTAATATTTCACAAAACTAAAAGACACATTTACCACAGGACTATTTTTTCAAACAAAGAGAAATTATTTCAGTGATTCAAAAAATGTAGTAGTCCTTGAACAAGGTACACTGCTCTAGATTTTCACCTTTTGGCCCAGATGCTAAGTAGCTTTAGGCATGTGTGTGTTTGCACTTGAGAAGCTCTAAGCGGCTAAAAATTAAGGACATGTGTAGTGTTTACTGATTCCTCCCTTTGGCGTGTTTGGTCTCCGTTGGTGTGAATATCCTTGTATATATTTGGGTTTTTTTATATATATAAGGTGTGTGTATCCTTGGTGTGTGTAGATGTCAGCGTGCTGGAGCAGATGAACAACGTTAGGCCAGTGTTCCTTGTTTTTGTCTCTTCTCTTTGACTGATTCCTTTGTGTTCTGGAGTGTTTCCTTTAAATCTGCCGTGTTTCCATCTTTTTCATTTCATAGTTTCTGCTTGCCATTTAATAAAAAATTGTGCTAGCTAGAGGGACTCAACTAAATATGAAGGCAGACATTTTGTCTTAGCAATAATCTATCTTCTTTAATACACATCTACAGGTGTGGACTTTTCCCCTTGCATATATGTGGTTGCATGCCTGTTGATCCTTGCTTGAGCTTTCAAGGTTTGTCATCTTGGGTAGTCAGTGTGACTTTGGGATATGCATGTAGGAGGGGAAAACCTGGTGCCAAAATGTCTAGTTCAGTTGTTAGCTGTTCAATGCCTTAAAGGTTGTGGTATTTCCAAGAGACCATGCCAGCCCAAAGAATTCTTTTAGAATGGCAGAATTCTTCATGCAACAGTGAGAAGATATGGGAACATCCTGGGAATTAAAATGCATGTGCGCACACAATCCCATTTTCAGTCACTTGTTTCTTCGGAGTGCCTACTTTTTTTAAAAAAAAGAAACTTCCCTTTTAGATATATTGGGTAGTGATATTATGTGGAGAAATGCTTATTCTCTTTGATTTTATAAAATACATGCACTTTTAAAGGGTACTGGGAAAACGTCTTAATGTTTTGAAGAGAGGCATGTGTTTGTGTGGTTTCATTCCTATTATCCTCAGTGTAGGTGCTAGGATGTTTGTGTTATTAATAATACTAGTAACTCAAATGCATTGAGATACACATATATATCAGAATACAGAGATCGTGTGCATGCAGGGAAATAATTCATATGTAGGTAACTGGAATATGAACTCCTTTTGGAAAACTGGATTATTAAACGTGGATTTCTTTTCTAAACAAGCCTAAGTGAATCAGCATATCATTGTGTTGGTGATGGTTCTGGTGCTAGAATTGCCATTATCTTGCAACATTCTTGCTGTTTTGTGGATACTCTTAGGGCTCCATCTACCTGTTCATGGGTTGGTTCAGTTGGTGATGAGGGTAGCTTAGAACAGTGGTTTTTAACCTTTTTATAGTTGGGGACTGGCAAAGAATGAGAAAATCATTTTGGGGACCGCTGAGGCAGAAAACCAAAACAATCAATAAACAAAACAGCAATTGACAACAATTAACAATGTGCATAATACCAACAGAAACATATTACCCACGAAGACAAAATCATCAAAATCAAAATGTGACTGTGAGCATTAAAAGCCAATTAAAATTCCTAGTCCTTAAAAAGTCGGTGCCAGGCAAACCTCTCTGGGGAACGCATTCCAGAGTCTGGACGCCACTGCAGAGAAGGCCCTTCTCTGGGTAGAGACCTCCTTTACCTCCTTCAGGAAGGGTTCCCAGAGCAAAGCCTCTCCTACAGATTTTAGGGGGTGCAAGAGCATATACAGAAGGAGACCTTCCTCAGGCATCAGAAGTTGGACTAGTCCAATCCAGCCTGACAGTTTGATGGTGGAGGTTGGATCAAGTTTACCGTTTGTCCGGCCCAAAGAAAGAACAGATGGTCAATGAAAAATGGAGTTTCACTGATAGTTAGTATGCCCTCCATTAACTGGAGATTGAGCAAGGGAGATAAATCCATTTACTAAAAGGGGCAACTTTGAAAGCAGCCCTTTCCATCCTGCCCCCCCCTCACCCCCCAGAAGCTTGGGACTACAGCTCCCAGACAAAGACAAAGACAAATTGGTTAAGAGGAGATAGCACAACACCACAAATAGGTAGTGCATATTATTTGGCCTTCTGACCAAAAAGTAGTCCTCCTGGTAATCTTCTGGTGCTAGGGAACCTCAAGATACAGAAATGTGCTGAAAACCAAATGTTTCAGGGGATATTCTGGTTTCTTTGTGAATGGATTGTGTCAGCATGCACTCCCTTGTCCTCCTCCAATGTGTATTGGAAAGTAAGCTACCTTGAGATTTCGGTAGTAGGTGGCATCTAAAAGTAAATATAAATAAGTAAATAAAGTAGTAGTGATGGAAAAATAAGACACAAAATGGATATAGTAGCAGGAAGACTTGACTTGCACTTAAATTGGTCATTTTTATATAAATGGGGTTGGATCAGTGCAACCATGCTTTTCTTAAGATACATATAAAGGGTCTTAATAAGGCAGCAGTGTCTATTGAGTTCTTCCTGTTGGGTGAATTGGACTTGTTTTTGTACTGTCCAGACCACTTATTTAACAAGAATGTTGTGCTTATACCACCAGTCCAATCTTCTGGCTAGGAGGAGACTAGAACCATGTTGTACTCTTAATGTTCCCCTTTTAGCCAAGGGTTTTTGTAATGCTGGTGATAGTTGCTCTGTTTTGTACCAGGAGAGGCAATCTGAAAATACTCTGCTTCCAAGACAGTACATTACCCGTGCTGTTGCCAAATATTAGGTAAGTTACATGCCGGCCTACAAATTTGAATAAGCTTAGTTTCAAGTGATCTAGAAACCTCAGTCAGGCTTTCAAAACTTAGTTTTCATTAGTTGGAACACTTCTGTCTCCAGAGTCATGAGAAATTCATTTATTAGCTGCTAACCATCCAGCACCCCTCCCCTCAAACTTTAAGGCCCTGTTCAAATGCAGACCTACATTTTTCATGAAACTGTAACTGACCATGAACATGGCCTTGTCAAAACTTAACTCTGAAATGAATACTCCAGTCAGTCAAAATGGCAAGACAGGTTGTCCAAAAGCAGAAAGCAGATTCCCAGCCCAAACTTAGGTGAATTTACTCAGAAGTTATTTCCAGAACCACAGTATATTTCCTTCATCTGAGCATCATTGCTGGTTTTACTTGAATGGATGGCAAAAGATGATAGAATTGGAGGTATTGCTCAGCTGTCACTGAAGAGGGAATATACGAAGAATTCATTTAAGTGCTGCTTTTCCTGCCTTACAGCCTGGGTCCTAGAAGTGTCTATTCTGTTTGTACGTCTGCTTCTTTATTTTGATGGCTAACTCAATTTTGTTTCCCAAAGAATAGGAGATATATTATTTAATCATTGGATCCAACTGTTGAACATTTAAAAAAAATAGACCACCACCCACCTTACCAAATTTGTTTAACAGAAGATTTAATAGAAGATTAAATAGTAGGTGATTAACTTGAATTAAGGATTCAGTTTAATTCAGTTAGTCAAACCATATGGTTTCTGTTCAGGCAGATAATTCAGTAATATAGCTCTTTGTGGGTAATTTGCTGGTTCTAGAGCAGCTGTTGCAAAAAAAATTCCCCTTTAATAAGCGGAAAGTGATCAGTTCTTTTGATCAGTGCTGGCATTGCTTCTTGATATTCCACATTTTACGATCAGTATGATTTTGGAAAGTATCAGGTATAATTTTTGCAGTAAATGAAGTGCTTCTCAGATCAATCTCATATCCTCTGCAATTCTTGATGGGAGTTATTTTGGAAGCTTCAGGTTTGTAATTATCTATAATACTGTTTCATAAATGTTCAAAACAATTTGAAAGATTTTAAAGTTCTCTATTAAAGGGAGTTGATTGAACTTGCATTTCATCCTGTGTGTTTAAGTATCATATATCCTACTCATTAAAAATGGATTTCTGTATTCTGTTGTATAATGCTTATCTGTTGAGATTATGTTGTGATGTTCTTTTTAAAGCCTGTAGATTAAAAAAAGAATCAGACATTTAATGCATATAAAAAACAGTTGATTGATCCACTAAAATTCGTTAATAGGTAGGGAATTTGATTGAATTATTGTTTCAGATGTTCAATTTCTAGGTATTTCACTGTGGTATTCTAACTAATATATCAATAAG